TAAATGATAATGTATTTTTAAATGGCAAACAGAATAAAAATACGCAGGAATTATACAGAACTGTACCTATGTAGATAAAAACAGTGCCAATATTTTAATTTCTTACATAATTAAGCCATTTGGTTTTGACTAACATTTAATATGGATTATTTAATAAATGTAAATCTTGAATAAAATAAATGAACGCAATAAGAATAAATAATTGAACAAAAAAACTTATTTAACAAGAGTTCACGTATTTGGTCTTTACCAAATATGTAGGTACCTATATAATATAGTCGTGAATTTTGTTAGAAAATATCAAAATCAATAGATTTTTAGCACAATATATTTATCAAATCGATATAGCTCACAAAAGATATTAAAAATTCTTTCAAACCTGCGAAATAATAAGACATTTAATGCAATAAAATACAATTTCAACGTTCATTGACTCGACACCCTAACAGTAATAGTATTAAAAGGTCATCGTTTTGTAATCACAAGGAGTTGAAATCTCATTCATTACGAGAAATCAAGTAAGGCGTGAATCATACGGCCTTAAACGAGCCTCCGATAACCACGATGTATATGGTTCAAGCACAATAATTACGTACAATATAACTTTATCATTTTATTTTATGTTCGAACTTTTTTCATTACTTTATTATTTAAATACAACTTAAAATTATCTTCAGTGGATAAAAAACGTATATTCTTTAGATAAAACAAATCTATTTTTCAAGTAACTAATAAGAACGATGTTCATTGTTATAAATTAAATGTATTAAGTTGGCGTAAGTCCACAGTTTTTTGAGTCGTTCCTTCGGCGCCAGTCTGTTACAAAACATATTCCATCTGCTGGATATTTTGGAGGGAATACGTGACCGCCATATTTGGTGGCACTTTATGTTTTTTAACATGATTTTCACCTTAAAAAAACTTATCTTATAATATAACGGAATTAATTGTTCTTTGTTTACGCAAATATGGTTGTAAAATTCTAAAGTAACAACTTTTCTTTATCTGATTTTTTTATTTTATTTATCTCATGTAAATTCAGGTACTTAGCTTTTAATCTGATTGCGTGTTACGTTTTTTAATAAGTGAACATTCGAATTCGCTACAGAGACATTTTTTTTATTCGTGTAAATAAAATAACTGGATTTTTATTTTACAACATATTTAATTCTATTTACAAATTATTATTCATATAATAAAACAAGATATGTATTTTATACGTGCGCTTATTATATATTCTTACTGGCAACACTAACGCCGCCTTTACAAGTATATAATTTATAAATATTCTTTTATATAATCTATCAAATTTTATATAATAATACTTGTTTAATCTTGGTAAAAAACAAAGAGGAACCAAATTATTGACATTTGAATCGTGCCTTATATGAGTAATAACTTTAAAAACACATAATAAACATCTCGTCTACCCGTGATCACGGTTGCTACAAAGTAACCGAAACGTCAGGAGTAGGTATGTAGTTTAAAATAATAAAATAACTCGTATTACCTAATCCTAAAATATTAGTTCCATTTAAATGAATACTCGCACGTTTTATATCTAAATATATGGATCATTTAACTATAATAAAACTTATTAATACAACTATGACAAGCCCGATTAAAATCACAATCCAGATTTTTATAATACGAGGAATTATTTTAAACATTTTTTATAAGTCCGAACAACTGCAAAAAAATAATATGCAAATACATTATAATGCATTTTAATATAAAATTATTTAAATATACGTTTAAAACCATTAAAACTTTAATTAAAAATATATATATTACCTAACATGAAATTACTTACAAATAATAAAATAATTACCAAATACATATCTTAAATTTTAAATGTAAAAATAATTTCTTGGTTTGACATCAATATAAATATCCTACGGTTACATTTACGTGTTAATTAAAAAATATTTATGATACGTTCGGAAATTTTTTGTAAAAAGTTTTTATTGCTTTTAATCGGTCTCCGAAATTAATTATAATACGACATTTACGCCTAAATCCCTTAGTATCATGTCCTTCCATTTTAGGTGCTTCATGACCGGTCGTACCTTATAAAGAAAGATTTTTTGGCTTTCGAAATCATTTGCAAGGCTGGAACCTACTTTGTAAGTGCATGTATGTAAAGGTCATTGTCCTGTGAATAACACGAAAAAAAGGATGAGCGTCTGTTACAAACTATTTATAATAAAAAAAATATTAAATTACAATAAAAATAAAATATATTTGAAAGTTCGGGACACCATTTGCCAGTTACTTAATGAATAACATTAAATGAGGTATCAGTACTCTTACTATGGGGCAACTTCGTCACACTACATTTTACATTCAAAATCCTACGTTAATGAAATAAATCTTCTCATCATTTCATGTATTCACCGTGCGGGTGCCGGGAAATTCGCGTTATAGTAAGAGGAACTTCAACAGTGACTGGGACTTGCGACCCAGGTGTAGGTTTAAGGGGCCCTAGCTAACGCTCGTAATACGCTCACTTCGACTGTCCAAGCTCCTCTCTACCTAACCAAATTTGAAAAGAACCTACTAGGGCTGCCTTCGAAGTAAGTTCTAAGCATGTACTGATGTTAGTTCTGGACGGGCCCAAGTATTTTAATAGGTTGTAGAGAGATTTAGTTGTTATACCACTCGCTCCCACTTCTACTGCGTACAAATTTACGATGAACCTATTCCTAGTGAGTTCGTTAGTGAGCTCGTAATACATACATGATAGCATGATCTTTAGAGATGTTGCTTTCCCAAGGAACCGTAAGCTCTATTAACACGACGGTCTGTAAAATTCGTGAATATAAAAATATGTTTGGGTGAACGCCGAATCACAAATATCCTGTCACTTATAGTATTTTATATTGTTTCTGATATGTATCCATCATTATTGTCCAATCCGGAGGCGTTTTAGGAATAGAATATGTGATGATTTACAAATAAGAAACTTCTAATGATCCGTATACAGTGTGACAATGGAAACTTTGGGTAAGGGTAAACTTTGGGTAAGCGTACAAATATTCTGAATAAAATGATATTCCTAACCGTAGCCAAAAAGTAAATAACAAATATTTCTAATAGTTTCGTTCAAACTGAGACACATTATACATTTAATTACTGTCAAATTAAGTCTTAATAAGTTAGGTTTCTAGCTTAGAGTCCATTTTAGTTTCGCACTGTCATTTATTACCTACCAATTTATTAACTGAATGTAAAAATCCTTTTGACTAGTTAAAGAGTAAAAACACATTTTTATGTAAAAAAAACAAACTATACTACAGAGTATATTAAAGTGAGATATATCCATATATTTTTTTAATAACAGATAACACAAGAACATTTAATATTCGTACAAAAGATTTTTTAAACGTCAACTAAAATAGTTTTGGAACAAAACAAATATATTATTCCCCAACATATATTCACACGTCAGCGTTTATTACGTGACTCTTTTATCACTCAATAATTTTTATTACACATTAAATCGAGTAATTAGTAAATAGATCTTGAGGAAATAGATCTTAAGAAACTTATTATTATTTAACAACAGCTATTGTACAGGTATCAACGCAAAATGCATACTGATATTTTGAAATATTATTTGAAGCCTCACTGTCTCCAACCACTATTCGAAAATTGTTATAAACATTTGAAAATAATTTAAACTTTAGTCGAATTTTGTCTTAAATCCCAGTATAGTTTCACAAAGTGTTGGTACTTTTAAGTATGTTTGTTGATTTAGAGGATGGACCCAGAATGCTTTTAGCCTTCTATTTCATCTTCTAGCAGAACAAATTGCTATTTATATTAATATAGGAGAAAACATTGTTTCATATTATTGAAATATGACGGCGAAAGCATCAATTCCTAGTTTTCTATTTGTAATTTACTTTACATTTAATTTGAAAATATTTTCTATTTCATTTGTTAACTATGGCTTCCGAAGACTCTAAATAATTTTTCATCCGATCTTCTATCTTAAACAGGTATAATAACATTAAAATTTCAAATATCCGTATATATCCGGATCCAACAATTTTGAAATATTTAACACACATACAAGATTGTTCAAGACAGTGAAAATTATAAAAAGCCTACTTATCCTATTTTTATTACTCTCTTTTATCTAAGCTACCTCATTCGTGTGGTCATCAAAATGGTATACCTTTTTTTTCGTTGATGTCGCAGGAAAACTCTTTTTACGAGCCGTCCAACCGGCCTTGGTGGGGCCGGAAGGAATGTGTGAGACTCGGCCTGGGCAGGCCCCTACTTACTAAAACCACTGCGAAAACCATCGGCTGCTATGTCGGTGTACCCCGGATCTGTCAGCGACAGGGCGAGGGCACACCAATGACTGGCCGGTCCTGGCAAAGACCGGACTTACTCCCTCAGAGCATGGGGGCGCTCCCGGCAATTAGGACCGCCCCGACGACGCCGGGCTTTCACAGGAGCCGGGTTACCAAACCGACCCCAGCCCGGAACACTAGGGTGCTATTGAAGGCGTTAAGACAAAATATATACTTAATTTAAAAACCTAAACTCGATTGGTTACAGAACCATTTACAGTATAGTTTAATATTCTAGCAACATAGAATTTTAAGATAAGAATATATATTTCGGTAATTTGTAATTGATGTCGCCAACCATAAAAGAAACTATATTAAAAGGTAATTATAAATAAATTAAAACCACTTTAAGCAAACCGGTTATTCAATTATTGTAATAATTATCAAAGTAATTTAAAATAGTTTAATAAATTGAATTTAAACAGATAATACTGATGGGCTCTGTCGTGTTGACTTTGTCAAATAGTTCATGACTTTGACAATACTTTCACTCAGTGAATGGCCAATTTCGATTCGTTATCGTTATAACCATTATATATTATTTACATTGCCATTAAAATGAGCTGACGTGGATAGTAGAAGCCTCATAACTTATGCATTCCAGTTGAACGTTACGCATAATAAGTGTTTGTGATAATGGTCGGGGCGCCGGTAAAATTGGGCTCTGTTTTGTCTGTTTGTATAATTTTCTACGCTACATATTACAAGAAACATGACATAGAAGATTTAAGATTGTCTCCGGTGAAGGAGAATTTGCTGTCTCTGGAGGTAGAGAATAGAGTTGCTTCAGGAATAAGCCAACCAAAGGTCGCTCTTGGCTATGGAGCGTGTCATGACCTCTTCGTGAACGCAACGTCATTGTTAAACGCAAAAGACTTGTCGGGTGAACCGGGACATTTTAGTGAAATAACGAATAAAGAAACATTTCTGAAAAGCTTCACATATTTCTTCAAACATGGAGCAGCTGCCGAGTAAGTATGAAAGAAGTTAATTAAATAAGTTTTGAATTAAATTATTACTGTGATCTTTCTTAAAGCTTTGGTTATGCTTTGTACTGTATATTGTTAATTTCATAACTTAAAAATCTACAATAGACTACTGTATACAAACAAAATAAGTATTTCTTGAAAAATTAAGTAAGTTACATTTATTAATAAAAGAATTTTTCATTTTACAGACGATTCATGTCAAATAGTGAACTCTATGATGAACTTGTCGAACAAGCTTTGAAACTACCAGACACAAGATGGGCCATCGGAGGGAATGCTCCTCTAATGGCAAAGAGGTTTTTCATTGAAGGCTGGAAAGTATTGCTGGGCGGTAAAATGAGTAAAAAGTTGAAATCATACATTCCAAATGAAATACAAATAGTTGGTGATGATAAAAACGAGGATGTTAAAGACGATGTTCATATGATATTAGAGTATAGGGCAGATGAAATATTTGGCTCATACAAGTCCCCTCGGGCAAATAGATTTATAATGCACAACGATGAGAACAATCCTCTCTTAACTTCGCTTGAGAAATTAGGTGAAAATTTACCCAAATTTAGTCCCAACCTGCTAGTTATTAGTGGATTGCAAATGATGGATAATTTTCCATTCAAACAGAATGGTAAAGGTAATTAGTATTTTTTATATATTATTAATTTAATATAATTAAAATAAAATTATAAATTTTTCTTATTCAGGGTGATTATGATTATTAAATGATGACTAACATATTTATTGTATTTTGTTGTATAATAGTTGCTTAAAATATTTGTATCATTATTGAAGTAACATACACTATATATAGAAGAGATAAAGATAAAAAATTATAATTAAAGTGTATTTGACCTGTGGCTCCTCTCAAATATAACTTGTTGTACACTCAACAAAAGTAAAACTTCTAAATCAGATAAAGTTTTTTTTTAGTAATCATATCTATTAAATTCAACAGTAAACAAGAAAATGTGCCTGTTTAAGATACTTTCAAGTATTTTATATGGAAAATTAGTTTATTAATGAATGAATGATATTTTATGTAACAATTTTTTTTCTTTTCCAGATTTAAGACTAGAAAGACTGAATTTAGTTAAGGAGCAAATTTTATCACAGCCATTGGATACTTTAACTCATTTCGAGATGGCAAGCTATGTTGACCTGGAGCTGCTGTTACACCTCACAACTAGAGTATTGCCATTCGTTGACTCGGTTGGAATGAACGAACAGGAATTATCAAATCTCTGCAGTGTGCTAGAACATGGGAAGGTTATTGTTGTTGCCGACTCAAATCCCAGGGTAGCTACAGCATTAGATCAAATGCGCAAAATATTCCATCTAACAAGAAAACTGAACAAGGAACATGATAGCAGAAGAAAATTGACTAGAATACATGTACATACTCTGGCTTACCAAGCAATATTGACGGTCAAAAACTCTGATTGGAAACGGACAAAAGCAGCGGCAGCTAAAGCTTCACTGATAGCCCATAGATATGTGTGTAACGATCAAAATATTGACTTAGACAAGAGTAAACTGTTGCTCGATGACAGTTTTTCAACGACAACCCATAATAATAATAGTCGAGTGTTCTTTGAGCCGACAAAGCCAGTATCATGTTGGGAAGAATTCCTCGACGGTGAACAAGTTGATATTTGTGTGGCACCTGTACTTATCTGCACGGAAGCACAACTTACTGCAGGTGCAGGAGACAATATATCAGCGGCCGGACTCGTCTTGCAAGTTGAGAAATAATTTCTTACATGGAACAAAATTTATATTAACTATTATTAAGCTTATGAAAAAATTGATCTTATAATTATTAATTATCTATCGTTATATTCATTCCATTTAACGGCATTTAAGTTTAAAATATTTATTTTATACTGACTAATGTTCAAATAACGAACATAACTGCCACTAAAGTAAGTTTGTACTAGTCGATTATTGAGTCAAAATAATAATTTGTCACTTATTGGATTCGTACGACAGAAAGCAATATAGGAGTAAGGGTAATCGATGTATTTATTTAATATTCTGTAGTATATATGATATTAATGTTAGCTTTTTCAATGTTTCTATATGTACTTATAAGAGCAATAGTAGACTTTGTTGTGGTATTTTTATAGGATATTCAAGTACAATTTTCCTTGAACTTAATGGTTAGACATTCCTAATTTATTCAAATATATTGTGTTAATAAAAATAATATATCAACATTTTTATCATTTATTTATTAAAAAAACTTATTTAAACATGATAACTAGTATATAGGGTTAAATACCTTACAATTTAGTTGTTTTGAAACACTATAAGTAAATTTTACAATAGTTTTATACAAAAATTTAAAGGAATGTGTTAGTATTATATCTACTACCAAAACATTGACACCATGTTATACTAAAATCTGGAGACACAATCCTTAAAAACTATTAAAAAATGGCCAATATAATGCCAGATTCATGCATAATGATTAGTTTATGGCATTTAATCAAGATTTATAAACAACTTGCCAAAGTAGAGAGTCGTTATTTCATATACCCTTACCCATAGCATTGGTTCGGTAGGACTTTTTCTACATTTAAGTTACATTAAGGTTACAGAGCTTATAACTTATGCATGCAATGTATTCTATAATACTCAATAATAATAAACAAGGTTACAGCAAATAATAAATTTAAATCTTATAATATTACAGGGATAAATATAAATAACATTCCCGTTTAAATTTACAAAAAGAATGTAAAATTTGAAACCATTGTATCCTAAAAGTATTGGCTTCCTTCACTAAAAGGAAATTTTTGGACATACACCAATTTATACTAATGTAGATCAATAGATTTTTGGTTGGCGCCTAAAATACGAAATCATTATATCTATTTAAAAAATCCATACATAAATAAGTGCTTAAATAGAAATCAACAATAAACACGACAATAAAAAGATTCATATTGAATGGATAACATCATAAAGAGGAAACTATTTAGATAATTCAGTCTTGAATGGGGTCTTAAAGGTAGGGTGATTGTGATTGGTTAATCTTCTTCCATTACTTCAATTATTTTCAAGTGAGCCGGATTGCCGATGGCCCTGAATGGATCGTAGAGACCGCTTCTTATGAATCTTTTCACAGCTTGCAAATCAACTGTCGGCCTTTTTACGCGGTCTTTTACTTCTTTCCACTTGAGCATGGCGGCTTTTACTCGGAGCAGTTCGTCTTTTATGGGATGCGTCGTAGGATCCACGCCCTGTATCCGCAGCGTTACCCATTGCAATGAATTTAACGTAAAAGCCAAAAACAAGTCCAATTCAATCTGAGCCGGTAAAGACATTTTTTCATAATGTTGCTTCAAAGGTAACAATTTGTCCAATACCTTTTGCAAATCCATCAAATTCTCCTTCAAATCTTCGCACTTGTTTACATATTCCTTGTCGTTGGCAAGTTCGCCGTATTTGAGGTCCCAATCCATTTTATATAAATAAAGAAAATTCGATCTATCCGACAAATAACACACTATACGTTTCAACTACAACAACAATATTGCAACTAATGCATTAAAGTCGCAGATACCACGTCTCTTATTTAACCTTTGCTACAATTGACAAGGGGAAATCACTTTATGTCAAGTGCGGTTTATTGATTTTTCCTGTAGGAGCATAGACAAGATATCGTATTTTTAGTTAGAGAATATTAAATAAATATCTTAGATGTTACTCATTAAGCCATTGTTGATAGTGATGATATAATATAATTTTATACAACTTGTTATTAGTGATACTTATTTCTTTTAGATGAAAATATTTAAATTATAATAATTTTGAACTGGGAAATATAATTGCGAAAGAAGTTAAGACTTTTTGATTTTGGAAAATATTGCTGTTAGACAATATATTATTTTCTTTTTTGATTCACCCATACACAACTTAGTCTACGTTTAAAATGCATTTATTTATAGACATTGACGAGACTAAAGATCTTACGTATAGAATGTTTTCTTATTATCCCAGTTGTGCTATGACAACATTTTTTTTTACATTCGCCGGGGTGTACTTGACTTCAAAAATAACAAATTAAACTCAAAAAACACCGATAAACAAACTGTATTGTTTTCAAATACATTCTTGTAACCATTTATAAATTGAATGACAACCTTTTTCCATTAACTAGAAGTCTCGAAATGTTAACTCCTGATTATAAATTATAGTAATTTCTTGCTTTAACAGTAACAAAAACAGGTGATTGAAATAAAACAGGTGTTTTTATAATTATAATTATTTATTTGACAGACAAACACAATAATAATTTCCAGTTAGTAATGGGTGTACTTTGACATGTTATTTTAATAGTTCAATCATATAATAGATTTTATATTGTCCTACGTATTATTTCGCGGGTACTTATTAGCCGAATAATGAATATCATTCATCTAAGTATTCGAATGGTTCAGGTGGTTCTGGTTCTTTTTCTTCCTCGGCTTTAGGACCAAAAGCCGCTACGGGTTCCACAAGCACTTGTTCACTGTCTCCCGTGTGATTCAACATTACGATACCACCAATAGTGACGTCTTTCAAAGGCATGTATCCGGAACCGTCAACAACTGTCAGGGTTTTTAGTTGTTGCCGCATAACCCTGGCTGGGTTGCTGAGTATTTCGAAGTTTGGTTCCGGTTCCTTCTTCTCCTTGACATCCTTTTCTTCTGCATCCTTTTCGTCTTTCTTGCCTTCTTTCGATGATCCGGCATCTTTGTCGGATTTACCGTGAACTGTTATATTTGGGTTTGGTGATTTGGAAGGTTTCTTTTCTTCTTCGTCGACGTCCATTTTAGATGTGGTTGATGACGTCACACTACTGCTAGCTGAGCCCTCTGTTCCGTGAGCTCGTCTGCGCGCTCTCGCTGCGGCGATACTTAATACAGCGGTGGTGACTCTTTCCCTTTCTTCGCGTTTCTTTTCTTCAAGCGGTGCTGGGTACGCGTAGAGCGATGGCTTAGCATTGGACTTCATTTCCAATAGTGGCATTTTTAGATCGGAATTCAGGGCAATCACGCATGTAGGCGTAAAAGCAAGTGATAGGCAATGGGCCAACGGGAACCAGTACCAGTATTGAGTGAATACTAGCATACCAACAACAGCCAACATGTTCATGTGACCGGTTCTGTTCTGAAGAGAGACTGTTACATTCCGTCCACCTGCGTCTATGATACCTTGGGCCAATATAGCTCCAAACTTAGCCATTACGTCTTCGTGTTTGTTTGATATCACTTGTGAGTAAAGCGTGCGGAAGTATGTAACTTTGGGACAGAGCGCCTCGGTCTGCTGGATCAAAATCATCGCTGATGCAATGAGCGCTCCTTGTCTGACGAAGTTTACAGGGTCAAATTTGACCATAGGTTCTAGAAGACCGATGGCTTCACGATTTCCAGTACCGGCGCACGCGATACCTAAGGCCATAGCAGCGCCGTATCGTACATGAGGATTGTAGGACTCCGCTAATAGTGACACCACAGATGGACATTGTTCGGGCGTTCTGAATAATAAGAATCCTAACGCAGTCACAGCAGCGCGACGAACGTCATCATTCACATCAGAAACGGCTACATGAAGTAATGTACGGATCGAATCGTTATTTCCAGTGCCGCAGTAGGCTGTAGCTATGGTGTAACAACCAGCTCGACGCAACAACGGATCCTTGTCTCTCAATAGCTGTTGGACGAGAGCATCTGCTTCTTCCAGTCGTCCGTACATAGTAAAGGATATGCCGACGGCTAAACCACGCAAAATCTTTTCGTGTTGAGTCTCCTGAGCGTAGGCAACCATGTCCTCGATGGCAGCGGCGTTGCGTGAACCCAGCATGACCATTCCCATAGCAATACCAGCGGCTTCACCAGTAACTGCGTCATCTTGGTATAGATTGAATTTGAGTTGTTCGTAAACGTCCTGCCTATGAGTGCCCATAGCAGCTAGACCGAGACCAAGACAGCCTCCGTGGCGCACCATTTCATTCTGAGCATCTTTTAGTTGAGTTAAAAGATAATCAATGATATTTGCGCCGTGATTTGCGTGAATCAAACCTAGAGCGTACAAGCCACCACCTTCGGAGTAGCCAGATGACGGCCCAGCCTCTTTCGGCAGATAAGATTGCATGAGAGCCAAGGATTCGTTCTCGTGGCCTCTGTGTATAACACCAAGCGAAGCCGTCACTGTCAGTTTAGCCCAGTTCGTCGCTCGCGCCAACCATTCCAAGTTATCTCTCAAGAATTGATCACTCGTTGTGCCAGCGTGCATGAAAGCGTTAGCTATAACCGTAGCCGTGTGGCAGATTGAAACTCTGATGGCATCTTTCGTGTTCTTTAGAATTAACATATCCGCGTGATTAGACCTAATTAAGAACTGTAACTGTAAACCTATTGATACATCTCCTCCTAAGATTGATATTAATTTTTCTACCCTTCTTTGATGTTCTTTTTCCTCGTCATTAAGACTGTCAATATCCCGTTCTGGCTTTTTAGGTTCTTCAGAGGGTGCTTGATCTACTTCCATAGTAGATTCCGGGAATGGGCCACCTTGCGGTTGGGGTTTGCCACCCAAAGCACTCGGTATAGGTGCTGTAATTCTAAGAGCTTGTAGAACTCTCCCTAAAAATTGTTGAGTTGCTGAGTCATACAGATCAAATGCAATTTGGTAAGCCATAAGTACTGATTCTTGTGGGCCGTGACTTAATTTGTCCAAGATTTCTGCGACTGACAGTGGATCCTCTAAGAAGATCAGACATTGACACATGTTGACATAGTCGGGAACATTCAGACCTCGATATAAACCTACTAAAGATCGGAGGACTGTGCTTCGGAAACCTCTGTTCTGGAGAAGACTCATTGCCACGGTAAATGCGTACTGCAGCATGCCTGGAAGAAGATACAACAAATGATTTATATAAAATATTTATAAGAAAATTTCATAATGCAAGAGAACTATTATATTAAGTTATTGGTATAATTAATTTTGTTTTATTATAATGTACAACCATTAGATTCAATTATTAGGATGGCCTTTTACAATTTTTTTGAATTATAAGCTTGCTTTAATTAATGGCTTAAGAAGTATGATTGTTTTTTAACTAAGATCCATTGTATTTCCGTTCAAAACAATACTTTTCTAAATGTACAATATAAATCACACTCACATAAACTGTTGATATGGATGCTAGACAATGAATGAAAGTAGCAATTTTTAAAAAAATCGTTTTGGAAATATAGCATTATGTATATGTAGGATAAAATCTCATTAATAAACCACTTAAGACAAAACAATCCCGTCCTGTATGTATAATAGGATTATGTAAATAATATAATGAATTGGAGAAAACACAGTTATTTGTAAATAACAACCAAAACTTAAGGTTTATTTTTATGTAATGTAATTCGTAGCAATTTAAGTAATATGTAAAGACAATGGATATAGGATTTTATATAGGTAGATGAATGTTTCACACAGAATTGCTTATATAGGTCATCATATCTATATACAAAAGGTAAGGGAAAAGAATCTTAATGGAATATGGTTTTTGAATTTTCAAAAGAAGAAGTAAGTTTTGTAGTGTTATTATACCTGACACATCATCAGACTTCATAATAGATTCTTCGAAGATGTCCATTCGTCGCGTCTCTAGCGCTAGACCCAGGGCCTGCCTGTATTGACCGTCATCAAGACACCGTTGAAACATTCGGTTCACGATAGCCTCCAGTCGAGGGTCAATGGTCTCGCAGGCACTATCAATGAACAATGCTTTACGTTTCTGTGTATAAAAATCGATGGCCTTAGCAATCGTGGTGTCCACATATTCATTCCTTGCGTTTACATCGAACAACTCCCCAGCGCCTAGCGCGTACGTTAAGGAGTCTTCGAATGCACCCAAATGGTAATAAACTTTGCTAGCCACCAAAGCAGCTAGTTGGTGCTGTGAAAAAACTTTGTCTTCGTGTAGAATTTCAATCTTTTCAATGGATTCAGAAATTTCCGGCCAGAATTCGTCTACGATGTTGTCTAATCTCTTTAGAGCGAACTCTTTCACTTCGTGCATAGGCTCATCGAGCAGGGATATTATCCCCGCAGCGGATGTGATATTCATTTTGAAGAATTTCTTTGACTATTCAATGATACGCTTTGTTTCAGAAATTACAATATGATTGCAAAAACTAAGTACAACTCACGTCTCACAATAGTTTTGTGATTTTGGGATGAATTGACAATTTTGTGTTGGTCATAGACTAAAGAAAATATTAAATGGGAACAGGCTATCTGACTGTATTTTAGAATATTTTATCATGTTTATATATAACAATATATATCTATTTATAAGAAGATATACAACGTGTGAATACTTTCACAGTATTGAGCTGTTATTTTCTATTATTTATTGATTTCAAAATTCTTGTACAATCATAATTTATATTACAAAATTGTTATGGCAATAAGTAATACTGGGATATGAGTTGTCAATTTTCTGTCATAAACACGAGTCACAATTTACGCAGTCAATAGTCAATACGTAGAATTCAGAATAGTGCGAAACAGCTGCTCATAATTATCTCAGTTGAATAATTATCATAATTTTTCAAAATGTTGGATCTATTTAGCATATTTAGTAAAGGAGGGATCGTCCTGTGGTGTTTTCAGAGTACCAGCGATATATTTTCGCCGTCTGTTAACGCTCTTATACGAAATGTAATCTTACAGGTGAGTTATCAACGAAGAAACCCTTTAAATCCTGATCACCTTAATTAATTCAACCTTTCACTTTTATCTTGTAAGGAAGAATTGAATAAACTGCAAATTGTTCTGTTTTAGGAACGAACGGGAAATAATACGTTTAGCCATAACGCTTTAAGCCTCCAATACAAACTCGACAATGAGTTTGAATTAGTTTTCGTGGTAGCATATCAACGTATACTACAATTGTCTTACGTTGACAAATTTCTAAATGATATACATTTGGAGTTTAGGGATAAATACAAGAATGAATTGCAAGGTGGCCAACATAACATGGATTTTGATTTCAAAACTACGTTTGAGAGTGTTCTCAAACAGTGTGAACAATGGGGTTAGTGTTACATATTACATTCAAAGTTATTAACAACATATATTAGTAATATTTTTTGATTGAAATACATTTGATACTTATTTGCATACTGCTATATATATTAATAATTTCAATTTTATTATTACAACCAGCAAAAACACAGGCTCAGATTCCAAAGCAGATGAGATCATTTGAAGACTCGCAGAAGTCTAAAAAGACTGTCGCCTCTATGATTGAAAGGAAAGGAGATGAAAAAAATAAAAAATCTGGTACAAATTATGTTTCTACTTACTTTAGTTAAATAAATTAACATTCAAACTTACATTTTGTGATAACGAATAATGATTAAATAATAATTTTTGTTTTGTAGATCTATTGTGTGAATTTGTGTATTGTAAAATTTATATTAAAATGTTATATTTCAGTATATATTCTTTATATATCTTTATATGTATATTTATATAATATTGTTGCATTTTCAGTGAAAATAATAGAAAATAAGAGCATTCCTAATGGCAAGGTAGACGAACCAGAAGTCGACAATGACTTGATAGCTGCCAACAGAGCTAAACTGGCACAGAAAATGGCGGCCAAGAACAAAAAAGAAGCCAAGTTAGTATATGATAATTATTAACAAAGAAAAGATTATAATAGTGATAGCAAATACATTATATTGCTAATGAATTATAATAAATGAGCATATTATTTTTCATTAATTAAAATTATAAATAATTTCTTTTTTGAACAATTAGTTAAGTTATTTCTTAATTATTTAATGCTCATATTGTTCTTGAAGTTGTTGGGTTTTGTAAAGATATTTTTTTCTGAGAGATTTGAATGAGTTCTTGATTCTGTTATTAAAATAGAAAGAAAATTGTATTAAATTTGTTATTTACTTTGCATTTTAAAAAGCTCTTATTACCAGTTGCGGAAAGCAGCCTTAGTGAATCATTACCAAATATTTTTTTGACATGGGTTTCATTTTTCGGCCTTAAAATTGAAATCAGTAGTCCCCACCCATATAAATGGTCTAGGGAGCATTCAAGTATTACGTAACGCAATTTTTGAAGATTTTTGACCCCCCTTCCACCCTTGTAACGCACAGTAACGTTTTTCTGTAGCCCCCCCCCCCCTTCTCAAAACGTAACATAACACTCAAGTGACCAATTTCATCCTAAAGTCTTAAAACAGTATGTAATAGTTTGGTATGGTTTTAATCTATTAAATGAAAAAACATCATTGATACAAATCTCCCTCTTCTGAAGAAATTACGAATACTGACCACGGAACCAACATTAAATGACTTACAATGAAATCTAGGTATTCCCTGTAAAATATCGATTAAGAGGTTTGCAAAATTGGAATGACAAATAAAAATATCGACCAGACTAATACAATCTGGTCAACATAATGTAACAAATATGAAAAGAGTTGCCAGTTTGGGGGTTTTTTATTAATATTTTTTTTAGAAACAATACTACGTAACGTTTTGTAAGAGACACCCCCTCCCGCCCCTGTAACGCATCGTAACGTTTTAGGACACCCCCCCTCCCCCAAAATTGCGTTTCGTAACACTTGAACGCTCCCTTATTGAACAAAAAAACCTCGACTCTATAGACATTTGGTTGCCAAATCATCTCTGTCGATGAATGACATAAATCACCATTATAGTATTCCCATCGCTTTGCTAGTTCCACTCAAAAAAGTTTAATGTTTTCTTAATTATTTCCAGAAAATCCCCAAAAAGCCCAAAAGCAACGGATCGTGTGAAAAAGCCTCGTGTTTGGGAACTGGGAGGTGATTCACGTGATTTACCATCGTTGGATTTCAGTACTGATAAAGAAGGTTGTGAAGAAATAGCTCCCGACACACAGGTATGTTATATATGATAGTTGTATAACAATGTGATATAAACATTTTATAAGTACATATTACGATGATGTAAAGTCTTTATCTAAGTTTTTTTACATACTCGTGATTTCAGTACAAAATATTCAATATTATATTTGCTGTATGACAATAGAGCTAAAGAAAGTTCTAGAACAATATCTTTTCATTTGTTTTTTTCATATTAAAGTTCAATGTTAGTGACAGAATCATTTTGATTTTAACATTTTTATAAATTATTTTGTATTTGAATATTACATAAATTATATATGAATACTCCCATTTTTTTATTATTATTAAAAACTAAATATATTTTAATGTGTATATATAATAATTCAGTTGGTGGGTCAAATGAAAGGTGCTATTCGTGATTTGGAAGTTGAAGAATCTGATGCAAGCAGTTCTGAAGAAGAAGAAACACAACAACCCAGCCCTAAAAAGACGGGGGGAATGTTTAGCATATTCAAAGGTATATGTATATAATTATTTTTAGTTAGAGCAATAATGTTTAAGTAGTTGTTTAACAATTGTAGGCTTAAACCAGCTACTAAGAAAATTAATTTAAGTGAACATTCATATACTTGAGACCAGTGGCGGCTGGTGGGTAATCGAACTGGTGGTGCACTTTAATAAAATATTAAAATTAGAAAATGCAACAAAAAACCAATTAACATAAAATATGTTTATTTTTTAAATATTAAATCAATGCGACGACATTTTTCTGAAGCGAAATAATCAATCACCTTTTTATTAAAATCGAGTATTGTTTGTATAATTATTTTTTTCAATACTAAGCATAGAAAGTGCATTTAGCAAGTGCATGGTATTTCGGAGAAAAGTTTTATTCTTTTCAATTCCAATTCGTCATACATCGGGTGCTCTCGGTAATCTTCGGCCGCTCGTGCGGCGCTCGAGAACCGACTCATTACTCGGTACATTTCTATGAACTATCTTTTGTTTCACGCTTCAGGCGTATTAATGCGTATCTCATACAAGATGTATTAGCAGTCCTCGTGCACTCGCCGAAGCGCACGAGATATTAGTTTAGTAAAGCGCACAAACTTTTTGACTATAATTAGAAATTTAATTTTTTATACGTTTTTGTATGTTTAGAAAATAAATATTAAAATGGTATATTTTAAAAATAAAGATGAAGTATTATTTTGTAATTTTCAAATCTTTTGAATTGGTGGTTCAGCGCACGAGTGCCCTTAAGGTACAGCCGCCACTGCTTGAGACTTATATCAAGACAAACATTTGTTATACAAACAACTAACAATTTTTATGATGAACCAATTCCATGCTTTCGCTATTTTGTATAAATGTTACCAAAATATTTTAAGTAAATTCTACCAAGAAGATAAAAAAAGATTTATACTTAGTTTTCATAGTAAATATATAATCAGTCATCAGATTAATCCAACTATTATATAAATCATAAAAAAAAAATATTTGTGAGCATGTATCCATGTTTCTTTCTATATCACACTGAAATTATGTAACGGTTCACGAAAACACTTTACACTAATGTAATTGAGACATCGGAATAATATGTGTATATTTTATACTTTATATTGAAATTCTCAGTTATTCCATTTTAATCATATCATAAAAGTTGTATATAATACAAAGTCATGTGACACAGTTACCATATCTATTGATTTAGTAACAAAAATTAGTTACTTATTGACTAAATACCTATATTTATGTTTATTTTAAAGGTTTGGTTGGCTCTAAAGCTCTCACCGAGGATTCAATGCGGCCCGTGTTGGACAAATTAAGAGATCACCTCATAGCAAAGAATGTAGCCGCTGATATTGCTAACAAGTTATGTGATTCGGTTGCTGTTAAATTAGAAGGAAAGGTTCGTTTATTTTTTGATGGCATTGCCTCTTATACTATCCTTATATATTTCCATTTATAAATTCTATGTTGTGTATTAGTTATACTTGCTTGGTATTGTTAAATGATAATGATGTTTGACGTAGGTAGATCATTTTATTATATTATATTCCATCATTCAGTCTTGCTACTTTGCACAATACATACAATACCAATTTAATAAAGTCTTAATACTTAATACTTTAATACTTAATTCTGCTATAGAAGATTTCAAAAGTATTCATGATCATTTATAGTATTTATGATCTATACTAATATTATAAAGCTGAAGAGTTTGTTTGTTTGTTTGTTTGTTTGTTTGTTTGAAAGCGCTAATCTCCGAAACTACTGGTTCGAATTGAATAATTCTTTTTGTGTTGGATAGTCCAGTTATCGAGGAAGGCTGTGGGCTATATAACATCACGCTACGACCAATAGGAGCAAAGATATAGTGGTAAATGTGTAAAAAACGGGAGAAATTATTTCATCTTTTAAGCCTTCCGTTGCGTGCGCCGTGAAAACGGTTCAAGATACACAAAAAATATGTATTAAAGAATAATAGGTCTTTTAATGATCTAAAAAACAGTATGCGACAGTATATGTTTATCTTTTGAGATTAACTCACAAAAACCGTTTTCATGGTACCTAATTTGGTCGAAATAATTTGTTTAAGTTGTATCAACATAATAATATTAATCTTTATTCAAATAAACAAACAAATATGTTGTTGGTTAAGAGTACTTCATTGTGAATAAAAAAAGATAGGTTTTATCCTGAAAATTCTACGAGAACTCGACCATTCATAAAACCCCGCAAGAACGGGAACTATGTGAGAAGAACCAAAATCTGAAGGAAGTCACTATTCCACGCGGACGGAGTCGCGGCAAAAGCTAGTCATTTATATTATATGAAAATAGATGAATAAAATATACATAGATTTAATAAAGTATTATCTTATAATTCCAGAAGTAGCACATCCAATTCCTAGTTGCATTAATTTTACATTCCATATAACCTATTTGTATTATAAATATAAGCATAAAGATATTCTATAAGTTTATTTTATTAGATCCGAATATGTAAATTTATATTAAAACTCATCATTTCCAGGTTTTGGGGACATTTGAGAGCGTGGCGACAACTATTAAGGCGACTTTAACAGAGGCGTTAGTACAGATCCTGTCTCCAAAGCGTCGTGTGGACATACTACGGGACTGCCTTCACGCTAAACAACAAGGAAGACCATACGTTATGGCTTTTTGTGGGGTAAAAACTAATCATTATTAATATGAATAATATTTATACTCAAAGTAGATAGAAAATATAATAAAAAATGGAATTAAATATATAGAAAAATCGTCATATTGATGCAAAATTATTTCGCATATAATTATGTTGAGATCATAAAAAAAATTATATATATTGACATAATATGCACGAATTTTCCTTATTTTTTTATATTAATCGACAAACAAGCTTATTTTTTAACTTATATCATATATGTAATAAATTACACAAAATAATGAAATTCAATGTAGAATACAACTAATTGTTATTAAATCTTTTGTTACTTATATAGTTATAACATTAGTAATAAGATCTCTTTGATTTTAAACTATCAAGAGAATTATAAGTAACAATTATAATTTACTATAATTATACTCGAATTCTCTCGCATTTCTCGGTAGCTAGATATAAATATAATCTATTCTATTCCTGAAAATTTCATCTTAATCGGTTCAGCCCAGTAAAAAAAGATTCTTAAAAACTATTAACATATTCTAAAGGTATATATATTTTTTTGGTTTTTACTTTGATTGATACTGTCATTGCGTGGCCACAAGGGAGACAGCTGAAAATCAGCAGAGGGATAAAAAAAAACATAGCCTGAGCTATCTCCTTTTGACTGCACACAAGTTTTGTAGAAATTATATTAATTTTCTTTATTTTTGTAATGTTGTTTTTTGTATAATTTTGTTTTTTTCGTTGTGTGTTTGTCAATAAATGTCTTTTCTTTCTTACTTTTAAATAGACTTAATAAATATATTTTCTCACAGGTGAACGGTGTTGGTAAATCAACGAATCTTGCGAAGATATGTTTCTGGTTGATAGAAAATCGTCTGTCTGTTCTGATAGCGGCTTGTGATACGTTCAGAGCCGGCGCTGTGGAACAGCTAAGGACTCATGTTAGAAGACTAGACGCCATGCACCCGGGCTCCGTCAGTCTATATGAAAAAGGATACGGTGAGGATCGGTCCAACGAAACAAGATAAATTATGTAAACAATGATATGAGATATATGATCGAATATTTGAGTACTATAGTTATTATAGATATGGTCATTATAAATAGTAACTTGATGGACTCAAATGCAAAATATTCTTTTCCTCATTAAATAAGTATTTACTTAATTTTTAGGAGTGTCATTATTTTAGGAAGGAATTGTTTAATTATAAGATTATATTTTTGTTTCATTAAACAGCATGATAATGATTTTAATAATTCCTAAGTTTAACATTATATGAAAACATGTAAATATTTCTATAAATTTTAGGAAAAGACGCAGCGGGTATCGCAATGGAAGCTATCAAGTACGCAGCGGATACCAAATATGATGTGGTTCTCATAGATACAGCAGGTCGGATGCAGGACAACGAACCACTAATGAGAGCTCTGGCCAAACTTATTAAGGTCAATGAACCCGACCTAGTACTATTTGTAGGAGAGGCTTTAGTAGGCAACGAAGCAGTAGATCAGCTGGTTAAATTCAATCAAGCATTGGCCGACCACAGTTCTTCAAGCAATCCTCATGTCATCGATGGGATTGTTCTCACTAAATTTGATACAATTGATGATAAAGTCGGTGCAGCCATTTCTATGACTTATATTACCGGCCAGCCTATAGTTTTTGTTGGCACTGGACAGACATACACAGATTTGAAAGCTCTTAATGCTACCGCAGTTGTTCATGCTCTTATGAAATAAATTCATGTAATTCATACATTTATACAACAATATTCATTCATGGAATAATATATAATTTTTTATTGGGTTTTGTCTTCTTTTACTTTGTTAATTAGTAATAATAGCAGATTAGTGAGGTCTATTTTAATTTCTTTTCTCACAAATATAATACCATATAGTATTGATTTTAAATATGTAATACAATTCTCTCTCAATTAATTATTATTAATATGAATGTAATAAAAATTTATTGTTTATGGGATGTGGTTAAATCTTCAAAATATACTGTTTGTTTCTTTTACGTCTTCTTCTAGCTTTTTGAATCTATGATGTATTTATCTACTCTGTTCTTACACGCTGGTTAAATAAGGAACCAATTAGCAAAATGTACACAAAACGCGTAGAATTAATTTGACAGTGCCTTGACCCCGAAAATGTTATTGAACATTGATTTAGCGATTTTGTAAACAACACTGCCTTATTAAAAAAATCATGTAATATTTGACATATTTATATTATTTGTTAATTTGTTATTATAAATAAAAAGTATTTGTTATATATTTCGTTTTAAATGTCATATAGTTTTAGGGGACTTATTCAATTATATTTGATAAATTATAAACGGATAAAAGTTTGAAGATTTTAACGATATTGTCACAATTGGGAATGTGATTTTTTTTAAATAGTTATATCAAAGTGTTTATACTTTATGATACAACCGTGAACTTGTTCATTGGCTAGCGATTAAATAAATATGAAATAAAGCATAGTTTTTTTTAACACTTCAATTCTTATGTAAACATGACTAAAATTTAAAATTAAACCAAAGAATAAGCTTTCATATTGTAAGACTACAATACACCGCTCAAAATTAAATTTTTAAACATCATAAAAGTTCTTTATATATTACTAGCTTTCCGCCCGCAGCTTCGGTTATATCGCTATTCCAAAAGAACCTTTAAAAACTATCCTGTTCTTTCTCAAGGTCAACTCTATCTCTGTACCAAATTTGATTAAAATCAGTTCAGTGGTTTAGGCGTGAAAGCGTAACAGACAGACAGAGTTACTTTCGCATTTATGATATTAGTAGGGATAACTTAAATAATCCTCTTTTGGATCGACCTTCATCTACTTTCACGGTAAACATAATGGATAACGCACATTAATTACTACAAATGCCTATAAAAATTAATAATTGACCTTTTAAATAAGCGTTTCCTAATTATGGTGGATTGTTTTAGCGCATTTTTCGGACAGTCCAAGCGGACGTTTGTAGTGACAACTGCGTTTAGAAATGGACAAAGCATACGAATACGTTAAATCCGCTATTATCACATTTAAATTGGAAACATGCTGTTGCTTCGCCCCTATACGTGTTGGCGTTTTAATAGTTGGATATTTTAATTTGTTTATATCGGTAAGTGCAAACATTCTTTTTTCGTATAATTAAATATATAACATGATACTTAGGATGATAATACGTTTAAAAAATGGTCTACTTTCATTGAACAATTATTTTAATTATTATTAATAATAAGGAGCTCATGGATTTATTAATAATATTAAAAATATGTAGATTTTATCCCTGATGGGTACAGCCGACGGTGGTATTACGCCGCCCTTGATGGAAGTTCAGGATCAATTTCTCGAGGACAACGCTTCTAAACCAGTTGGAATTATCGCATACTCATCAGAACTAGCGTTTAGTGCATTGCTTTTGGGTGCCATGTACCGTGTAAGTAATGGGTAAAATAGTTCCATGGTAGATTTTTGTAATATGAAAATAAAAAAAATGATTGTGATAGATCCGTTCAGAAATAGTCAATTAAGTAATACGATACTAATTAAATCTGTAGATTATATAATTCTAAAATTTAAATACGTTTATCAAATACCCAACAATGGTTTTGTAATTAAATTCAATCTCCATTGTAAGCATAAGGTTTCGAAGCTGTTAAATTTTGATTACACTTCTAAGTTAATTCCGGATCGTGTTTATACTGTAAATGTCTTTTTACACTTATGAAGGACATATTTAAAACAACCACCCAACCAACCATACATAACTTAATATTTTTAATCGTGTACAGAATGACATAGTTTTGCTTCGTGTATATATGTACTACGTCGTGGTGACCATCGTCACTTCAATCCTGGTGTATTCTATGGTGATAGCGGCTGTCTCTCTCCTTACAAAGATGGTCATTATTGGAAATATGGGTACGAAAAAAAACTTTTATTAAAAAAACACATCATCTGTGTACCTAAAATTCATTGTTGTATGTATATCATTTTTAATCTATGTCATTTTTAAGACCGCGCCAATTAATTTTAATACATTTATTATAATTTTAGTTTACAATGGCTACGTTATATTATTGGTGAGAAGCGCTATCGTCGAAATAAAAGAAAATAGCACATCCGAAAAAAATGGTCACGTGACTTTATATTCTGTGGCGAAGTTTCAATGTGACGAAGAAAAAATCGATATTGGAAATATATCTGAACCTTCGAAACCTATTGAGAGTTTACCGAAAGAAGAAAATATAGTAAAAGAAGAGGATAGTATTGAAAAACATGAAAATAAAACTCCACAAAAATTGGAAACAGTCACCGAAAATCCTAAAGAGGAATAATTTGTCCATTAAATTATTAATATAACTGTTTACTATTTATTTTTCTAACGTCTGTATACCTTTTTTTATGAAAATCAGTACTAATATTATAAATGTGAAAGTAACTGTCTATCTGTCTGTCACGCCTAAACCACTGAACTGATTTTAATGAAATTTGGTACAGAGTTGACCTTGAGAAAGAACATAGGATAGTTTTTATCCCAGACTTTTTAAAGGTTCTCTTGGAAACGCGATGTAACCGAACTCCACGCGGCCGAAGCTGCGGGCGGAAAGCTAGTAATATATAAAATTAAATTCAGGTGTAAAGGAAAATAAAAATAATATTTTTATTTAACATTTATATTTTTCAAGTTTAATTAAATCACAAATATATATCTTGTGTCAATATACTTCACAAATTTTACCCTGTTGGTAAATAGTATATTAATAATTAATATAAACAGTAAGAAAATAGAGTAATAAGATTTTACTTTATAAACAAAATATGTTTTTGAAACGAAAAAATAATCTTATCATAGAATATAATTGTCAGTTTAAATTCTTTTTATGTAATTTCAATCAGATAATTGTTATTATGCTAACCACACATGTTACAGTATACTTGTGCAAGTCAGGACTTGTGTAAGAAAACTGTGCAAAATTTCCGACATGCACAAGTTTTTGAAAAAGTTAAGCTCCAATTTCAAAACTTGTGCAATATTGCGTTTTATACAGTTTACAAGAACATGTGTGATAGCAAATTTCAGTAATGTTTCAGCCAATTATATATATACCACATAGAAATGGAGTTCGCCCTATAATAGAAGTATCTATATATATATATTCGTGAAAGTATAGTTGAGACGTTTGTATTATCACAACCGAAATATGTATTATGTGTACGATGTAATGTCTGGCATAACATACAAAAAAATTTAGAAGAATATTGATTCACATTTAAATTGTATGAAATATACTGTTACACATTTATATAAGTAATAACAGATAAACAATATCGGAATGACAAAAATAATAGTTACATAACTATTAACATTTATACATTCACATATTAAATGACAGCTTTTTGATTGTCAAAAGTATAACAAGAACAACATTAGCACAAATTAATTCCTTACAACTAACATTTAGTATACATAGACCAAGTTTTAATTATAATGAGCATTTACTGCTTCTCATGCAATTATCTACATTAATACTATAATATACTTTCGTTAGTAGGTTAATTTCAAATTTGTTTTGATAGAGAGAGGACCTTGGACGGTGGAGGTGAGCGTTTAACGCGTTAGATAAGGGCCCTATAAAGTATAATTTCATCTCTATAAAATTATAGCAAGATTGAACAGCTTTTTTAACAGAAATAGATGATGAAAAAAAAATTCAACCGTAGTAATTTTGCATCATAAACTAAGCAATACCAAAAATTTCTCTGCTACCTTTCGTTTAAGATTTTTCGGTGAATCCATTGAATGATGATAAATTTTCGTCTCTTAATATAGATAATTGAATGAGAAACAGTAGATTTGTATGTAGTGTGACATCAAAACTTGTAGTAAGTATAGTGATGATTGTTTTTTCAAGTTACTTCCCAGTCTTCAGTTTAGACAAGCTACCGCCCAGACCGCGTCCTGTAATCAAATATAGTTTAACTATAATTATTATAGTAGAGGTGTAAATTTTTGTTTGTTGCAGACAAAATATTACAAATATCATAGCATAGCATTTTTAGTATTTTTTAGCAATATGTACATATATATCGGCGCTACCAGCCTTAATAACGGATGCGACTTGAAAATAATTTGAGGCTGTCATCAATTCATATTAAACCTCATTAGTATTTATGATTATTGTTAAAAGTAAAACGAAATCAAAGGTTGTTTAAAAGGAGAATAGAACTATGTTTAAATCTTGTTATAAATATGACGTCTGGACGCACGACGGCAGACTCCAGAATTGAGAATTCAGAGTTCAGTGAGTGCGTATCATTGAAGTAAGTTATTATGAAGAACCCTCGAGAAATATAGGAGCATTGAGAACAATTGAAGTTTCATTTTAAAATATCATAGAACGTTCCAGAAGAAGTGACATTTGTAACGTCAGCGAGACTGGCGTCGCTTTCTTTAAAAGCAATGAATTTGTAATAAATCCGATTTATATGTAAATACATAATTTTAATTTAAATATATTAATATTGTAATCAATATCCTAGTAGATAAACTTATCAGCAATGAGAAAAAATGGGGGTATCGGTTTAAGTTCAATAACAAATACACGGAATCCATTTTAGCCTTCGCTGACGATCTCGCAATACTGACACGTCACCCCAAACACTGTCAAGTACTATTGGATGAAGTGGATAAATTCTGTGAGTGGACGGATGGATTGAGGACAAAACCAAGTAAATGTCACTGTCTGTGTCTTGGTAGGCGGAATACAAGATACACCTCATACGATCCGGGACTATCGATAGGCGGTCAATGCGTTTCTACGGTTACGGAAAATGCACCATTCAAGTTTCTCGGTCGTAAGATTGATAATATAGGTCGTACTCCATCTTTAGAAGGAATAGTAGATAGCTTTTTAAATGATCTCAACAAGGTAGATAGCCAGCAGATCAGTAACGTAAAAAAAGCATGGATCTACGATAATTACTTAACTTCACGTTTGAATTGGCCTTTCCTCGTCTATGATTTTAGTAAAACCCTTTTATCTAAATTAGATGCAGGCGTCATAAAGATGTTGAAGTTGTGGCTCGGGCTCGCGCTAACGGCTGACTCATCGGCTTTATTCAGGGATCGTAATAGTTTTGGGATGAATCTAAAAAGACCATCGGAGCTCTACAAACACCTAAGAGTTTCCAAGAGACATATCCTGGGAAAATCCCATGATGACGTCGTTACATCACTCCCAAAAGACAATGATGCCCCAGAGCTAGAGTCACGACTTCAATTCCATAAACAATTTATGATCGGAGCGCAAAATAACAGAGTAGGGTTAGGATCAAGTAGGAAAGTCCAAGATACGGATATATTGAAGTCTTTTATTCGGCAAGACGAGAACGATAAATACAAGATCCATGCAATGAGTTTAGAAATGCAGAACGAGTGGTTAGACATAGGAGATTTTTGCATTCCACTAGCACTAAAATGGCGCACCCTAATTCATGACTGGTCGCCAGCCTTGCTAAAATTTTATCTCAATGCGTTCCAGATGACTCTCCCAGATCAGAGTAATTTAGTAAGATGGGGTAAAGGTACCGAAAAAACTTGCTATATCTGCGGAGAGGCAGTTGGAACTGCCAAGCATTTGCTGGTGGGATGTAAGGTTCTCCTGGACAGCGGTCAATACTCGCGTCGTCACGATAGGGTTTTAGAGATCATACGTGAAGCGGTTAGTCTTTCGGTAGCCAGAGCGCAAAGGGAAATAACCACAAACGAGCGATCAATAGGTTTTGTGAGAGAGGGCACCAGGGCTATAAAATCAAACGTCAAGCCTTACTCTATCCTTAAAGCGGCTTCGGATTGGACTATCATGATGGATACGTATGAGAAACAATACAAAATCCCCGAGGATATTTGTGCGTCGGCCTCCAGACCAGACATATTTCTATATTCGCGTATTTTAAAGCGCGTTGTGATGATAGAGCTTACGGTGCCTTGGGAAACCAACATCCCCAAAGACCATGCCATCAAGGTCAATAAGTATTACGAGCTCACTAACGAACTAACTCGAAATAGGTTCGTCGTTGATTTGTACGCGGTAGAGGTGGGAGCGAGAGGTATAACAGCTAAATCTCTCTATAACCTACTAAAAGACTTGGGCCTGTCCAGAACTAACATTAATTCATTCTTAGAACGTACGTCGAAGGCAGCCCTAGTAGGTTCTTTTCAAATTTGGTTAGGTAGGGAGAGGAACTTGGACAGTGGAGGTGAGCGTATAACGCGCGTTAGTTAAGGGGCCCCTTAAACCTACACCTGGGTCGCAAGTCCCAGGCACTGTTGAAGCTCCTCTCCCTGCAACGCGATGGACCCGGCACGCGCACGGTGAATCCATCGAATGCTAAGAGGTTTCGTCTCGTCTCTCTAATCTTATATCTTTAAATGAGCAATTCTTGTATATATATGTAATAATATTTGAATCTCTGAATTGGCTTGAACGATTTTTATGAAATCTTGTATACAGATAGTTTCGGAGGCGATAAATCGATCTAGCTAGGAATAATTTTTAGAAAATGTTATGTAATGAAAAAAAAACAAAAGGAGGCTTTTAAAATATGACTCTTCCTGACATCTATTGGCGAATAGTAACACTATGTACTTTTTGCTAATTGCTTTAATGACACAACAGCAGATGGCGTTGTTATGTAACAGGAAGTCCATGAGTGTTTGTTTTGGGGTTAGACTAAGATATTGATTATTAATTTATATTGTTTTGTGTTCTTAACGTGTTCACTTTAAAATGCCTAAACGAAATAAAAAAACACAAAATAAATACTAATAATTCTTAAAACCGAGCAGCTTAACCAGATATTGTATATTATAATGAGTACTAGTAAATAAGGTAGGTAGGGTAAGTCTAAGTTTTATAACAATTACTGATTAAATGAGTTAAATCATTTGCGTTACGAGTAAAACCGAATGAAATAACTAGTTATATTACCTCTTCCTATGCGAGAGCTTCCAAGACTGGGGAATTCATCTTCGGTTAATTCAGGCGCCATGCGGATGGCTTGAGAGTCTGAAAACAATATGAGAATAGTATAATCCTACTAATATTATACAGGGTGACTGGTGAATTACTATCGATATTTGAGGACGTGATATTTGACGATCATATATGACAAAATAAAAATTAATATAACATAAATATTAATAAACTTCTAAGTAAAGTCAACCGAAAGTTATGTAATTAATTACGCATCGTATGAACACTCTACAGATTAGGTATACACACACACACACACTCGCGCGCGGCGGCGTGTTGTTGTATCAGCACGCCGCCGCACGCGTCCACACTTGGAACACTTGGAACGTGTCAACACTTTATTTATTTATACGGAAATTTGGTCAAAAATTAAGTATCTATTTTTTTTACATAATTCGAATGAGAATCATGTACTGAGTATGCTCCTCAAATATTGATAGTAATTCACCAGTCACCCTGTAATTGCGAAAGTTTGTGAGTGTGTGTGTATGTTTGTTACTTCTTCACGCTCAAACGACTGAACCGATTTTGATAAAATTTTGTATACAGGAAGCTGACGTCCAGGAATAACACATAGGATACTTTACATCCCGGAAATCCGCGGGTAACACCGCGGGGCGCAGCTAGTAATCTTTATATATATAATTCTTCTGTGAGTGTGTATGTCACTGAACTTCTCTCAAACGACTGGACCGATTTTGATGAAATTTTTTGTGTGTGTTCAGGGGATCTGGGAATTGTTTACAATACAATTATCTAGATTCACAATTTCGTCCGCTGGACAATGTTTTTTTAATTAATTTTTAATTTATTAGTAGTTGTTGATACAAACGTTTTTTTTGGACATTAGATTTGACAACTAACTAATATGTCAATCATTCTGTCGCAGTTCAAAACCCGGAGATTTATGGCTTTAATAGGTAAACTCCAAAAATATAAATAAAAATACGTAATAGATATTTCTTGATTATAGGGCGATACGAAGTTCGCCGTTTCTTCTAGTATATATATATTTTTTTATGTGAAAGGTGGCAAACGAGCAGACGGCCTACTTGATGAACAGTAGCCACGGTCACCCAAGAATATCAATGTATGTTTGTAAATAATGATTTTAGCAATTAGGAAAGGGTGGGAATAAGAGAATATTAGGAAAAGGTGGGAATAGGGAAAGGGCAACCGTCTCTTTCACTCATAAGACGAAACGCAGCCATTAAAGACTACTTCACGCCGATCTTCTGTGAGAGGGTGATACTTTCCCGATCGAGCCAGCCCATGTTCGAGCTGTAGTAACTTACCATAGCAAAGCTTTATCACCAAATTATTAATAAACAATATTAATTAATTATCAACACTCACAGTCAGCTTTAGGCATCCTCAGTGGCACATGAACACGTTTCTCCCTACGGCTGGCTGAAAATAATGATAATATCAATTAAAATATTATATTTAATCAGTATACAAACAGTATTTAAATTATTTTATCTATGAAACAGATATATGTGTGTGATTGTGTGTATATTATATGACAATTTGAAAATAAAATCCAAATTAAAATTTTCGTTATATACTCTTATTCCTTATATACTAAATGTCCTTATGTACTAATTTTCCTTATATACTCATTTATATAAGGAAAATTAGTATATACGGAAAATTGGTATATAAGAAAAATCGGTACACAAAACAAAAGTAAGGGGCAATCGACAAAAAATCTGTAATTTTTGTAAAATAAATTCGAAGGCCAATAACATGAGAAGGGTTAGGTTTAGTATATTGGGTTCCATAGTCAAATCGGTTAGGGATAAAAAGGATTTCAGTCGGCTTAACCTGTAACCCTGTATAAATATTTAATAAATCACCTTTAAATGCATTAACTTATTATCAATCAGTCAAAACTAAATGTAAATATATAGAAATATAAATAAATGTATAAGTAATTAATATTATTAATAATAAGAACAACATACTGTCTATTGTTGCGTTGCTTGAGGTGTCCAAAAACGATTCACTTAGCATAGATGAATTGCAAGACGACATGTTGAACTGAAAGAAAGGTAGAATTAAAAATATATATTTTTTTTAATTATATGAATAAATAAAATAATTCATTATATATAAACACTATTGGTAATATTAAAAAATTAAAATAATATTTAATACATGTGGAATAAATAAGTTTTGCCTTATTTTTATATTAAATGTATTTATGATTAGTTTATACCTCATATCCGCCTACAGAGGGCGCCACTCGGCCCCTCTTCTGCTCTTGATAAACTTGGATGCTCTGGAAATACATAGAAAACGTACTTTTAATGGCTCATATTACATTAATTACCCAGTTTTTTTTAAATAGATTCTTAATCGCTTATTGCATAATGTCACTTTTTTTATTAAGAACGTAATAGAGAAATTTCTGTCATAATGGTAAGTAGAGCTTTTTGAAATGACATTCCTTTAAAAATTAATTATTTCCTTTCTGTGTCGATAAAAATATTAAGTATCACATAATTGTGATGCAAAAATAGACAAGACCTCAGGAATACAATTATGTTGACAATTACATATTGTCTCATATCAATAAACAATGACTCGTTTGCGCATGGTCCATAAATAAATGTCTGCTATAAGTATAACTATAAATTTCTTCGAAATGGTTATCGACCCAGATTATATTAAAAGCTTTCTGCGAATTACATCTTTGTCACTAGGTATAATTGTGTGGCGTGTACTAGAAGTGTGTACTAGAAGCTTCCGAGTAGATGGCCTTTGACAATACCCATTTTCGTTTAGTAAGACCATCGTCTTTTCCATAGTAATTTTCCTTTATTGAGAATGTCTTATTATAGATGTGAATATAAATATGTACTATTATAGAAGATTGTCATTCAGGTTAACTAGTTCTTATGTAAGTGTTGTTATCAAGATGTGAATTTATTTAAAAAAGAAAACAGTAGTTCCTTTCTGTTTTGCCGTAAGAGCTAAATAGAAGACATTTGATATTATACATTATGTATATGAGTCTTATATGAGTGTTTTTAATGAGAAAGGTGGCAAACGAGCAGACGACTTACTTGATGGGAACTAATCACCGTCGCTCATTGACATCCGCAACATACAGGGTGACTGGTGAATTACTATCAATATTTAAGGAGCATACTCAGTACATGATTCTCATTCGAATTATGTAAAAAAAATAGGTACTTAATTTTTGAACAAATTTCCGTATAAATAAATAAAGTGTGGACACGTTCCAAGTGTTCCAAGTGTGGACGCGTGCGGCGGCGTGCTGATACAACACCACGCCGCGCGCGCGAGTGTGTGTGTGTGTGTATATACCTAATCTGTAGGTTGTTCACGCGATGCGTAATTAATTACATAACTTTTGGTTAACTTTACTTAGAAGTTTATTAATATTTGTGTTATATTAATTTTTATTTTGTCATATATGATCGTCAAATATCACGTCCTCAAATATCGATAGTAATTCACCAGTCACCCTGTATATGTTGTGGAATCATAGCCGACATTGGTTATGGAAAAAGGGGAAAGAGTACGAAAAATCAATCATCTCTCTCACTCACCAAACGCAGCCATTTAAGACTACTTTACGCCGATCTTCTATAAGGTCGGTACTTCCCGGTCGAGCCAGCCCATGTTCGAGCTGTAGTAACTTGACCACAGCTAGGCTCTAAAATAAAGACTTCTTGCCCTCTACTGATTCATACTAACAGTGTATTCTTTAGGTGGTAGAGCCTAGCTGTGGTCAAGTTACTACAGCTCGAACATGGGCTGGCTCGACCGGGGAAGTAACACCCTCTCACTGAAGATCAGCGTGAAGTAGCCTTTAGGGGCTGCGTTTCATCTTATGAGAGAGACGGTTGCCTCTCCCTATTCCCTCCCTTTCCTACCATTTCCTTATTCCCACCCCTCCCTATCCCTAAAAAACCAGGTTGGAAACGCATCCGTAACATCTATGTTGATAATGTCTATGGGTGGTCACTACTGACCATCTAGTAGGTCATCTGCACGTTTGGCATAAACAAAAAATAACTCTATTTACCTCTAGGTCATAGTCAGGTGGTACATGACAGCCATTTCGAGCGGTCACTCCAGCCACTGGGCAACACGAGTCCAACACAGTGTATGACCACCGTTTCACACGAGATAGTGTACACTCAACTGACTTGTCATTCTCTTCGTGATGCTGGAATAATAATAATATTTATTGTACACATTTAAATTAATGATTATTAGCATTGTATTATATAAAAATATATTTTTTTATATAATACACAGATATACATAGGATATTTAATTCTATTCAATCCAAAAAACTAAATAAAATCCAATATTTAGTTATTTATGGCCTCGAGGGCAGAATAGTTTGCCCGGTCAGCTATACATATACAGGGTGACTGGTGAATTACTATCGATACTTGAGGACGTGATATTTGACGATCATATATGACAAAATAAAAATTAATATCACATAATTATTAATAATAATCTTCTTAGTAAAGTTAACCAAAAGTTATGTAATTAATTACGTATCGTGTGAACACCCTAAAGATTAGGTATACACACACACACACACACACACACACGTGCGGCGGCGTGGTGTTGTATTAGCACGCCGCCGCACGCGTCCACACTTGGAACACTTGGAACGTGTCCACACTTTATTATTTATACGGAAATTTGGTCAAAAATGAAGTACCTATTTTTTTTTTTTACATAATTCGAATGAGAATCATGTACCGAGTATTCTCCTTAAATATTGATAGTAATTCACCAGTCACCCTGTATAACTAATTACGAAATTAACGGGTAAGAAGTCGCGTGCAAAAACTAGTAGTAGATAAAAATGTAAAACCTCAGCGGCCTTATCGCTACAGAGCGATCTCTTCAAAACAGCCAACAGACATAATGATAGCATTAATTATAAAATATATTATACAGGGTGACGGGTGAATTACTATCGATACTTGAGGACGTGATATTTGACGATCATATATGACAAAATAAAAATTAATATAAGGTATATCCATGTTTATGTAAAGGGAGATAAGACTAGGAATTATATAAATCATAGCTGATGAAGGCTTATGGTAAAAAATTTGGATTTTAACTATACAGGGTGACTGGTGAATTACTATCGATATTTGAGGACGTGATATTTGACGATCATATATGACAAAATAAAAATTAATATAAGGTATATCTATGTTTATGTAAAGGGAGATAAGACTAGGAATTATATAAATCATAGCTGATGAAGGCTTATGGTAAAAAATTTGGATTTTAACTATACAGGGTGACTGGTGAATTACTATCGATATTTGAGGACGTGATATTTGACGATCATATATGACAAAATAAAAATTAATATAAGGTATATCTATGTTTATGTAAAGGGAGATAAGACTAGGAATTATATAAATCATAGCTGATGAAGGCTTATGGTAAAAAATTTGGATTTTAACTATACAGGGTGACTGGTGAATTACTATCGATACTTGAGGACGTGATATTTGACGATCATATATGACAAAATAAAAATTAATATAAGGTATATCTATGTTTATGTAAAGGGAGATAAGACTAGGAATTATATAAATCATAGCTGATGAAGGCTTATGGTAAAAAATTTGGATTTTAACTATACAGGGTGACTGGTGAATTACTATCGATATTTGAGGACGTGATATTTGACGATCATATATGACAAAATAAAAATTAATGTAACATAAATATTAATAAACTTCTAAGTAAAGTTAACCAAAAGTTATGTAATTAATTACGCATCGTATGAACACCCTACAGATTAGGTATACACACACACACACATACGCGCGCGGCGGCGTGTTATTGTATCAGCCCGCCGCCGCACGCGTTCACACTTGGAACACTTGGAACGTGTACACACTTTATTTATTTTTACGGAAATTTGGTCAAAAATTAAGTACCTATTTTTTTTACATAATTCGAATGAGAATCATGTACTGAGTATGCTCCTTAAATATTGATAGTAATTCACCAGTCACCCTGTATAGATCTGTCTTTTTGTGCTCATACTATAATATATTAAGTAAGAATCATATTCTATTAAGTAAGAATCCTCAACCATTCTAAAAATCCCATATATTAAATCATGTCCATTCGAATAAAAAGTTTTCGAAGCATTAATTTCACTTCTAAAACTATGATTTGTATTTTATGATAGTATATCTGAAATCCTTAGAACTTAATTCTGTGATCTATAGTCTTTTATAATATATAGGCCACTTTACATTATGATAACATCACTTTTTCTAGCAAATCTGTATTTTTGATACATTACTTTCCATGAAATTAGTATCATACTGATAGCATTAATAGAATATTTTGATGTAAAAGAAAGATTTATGGATATTAGGGGGGCATTCATAAAATACGTGAGATATTTAAGGGGGTAAGGGGGTCGAGTCAAATCTCATCTAATCTTACGTTAGAGGGGGGGGGGTCTCGGCAAATATCACGTAATTTTTTTTTCTGAATGTAACAAAAACAGAAATTATACTATTTTGGTCCATTTAATCCAGATTATACATGCTTATTGCTTGAGATTAAATTTTAAGCGTAATCTTAATACGATTAAGATCATTTACTTTGCATCTAGAATAAGAGCTGATTGTTACAAGACGAGTTAATGAGTTACTGTGGCTTAAAGTGGCTAGATCAAAAGGTAGTTGAAGGAGCAGATGATTTTACTGAAAATCATATGGACATGTTGGTTCCAATAGTTTCTAGATCACGCATGATTCTCCATGGACTGAATTAGAGTAGATATTCTATTTTAAAACAAAGTAATTATTTAAGTACATACTCTATTGTTAAATTTTTATTCTACTTATAATTAAACTCTCAGCAGTATTGATTACTATGTAGTCTTAACTAGTCGTAAATAAAAACACGAAGCAAATTTTCTTTTCTTTTTATAATAATAATCTAAAGCGTTTACATAAGAAAACCACAATTTGAAAAATCTCACGCGAGATTGTGGAATGGGGTTGAATAAAATCTCAGGACATCACACCATTTCAGAAATTTCGAAAAAATACCTCACTTAATTTATGAATGTCCTCCTTAAGAAATATTAATGGTTAAATACCTCACAACCAATCCCGGGTGAATATTTGAATGGATCTTTCTTAAGTTGCAGTAAAGCCAATGATTCCTTTGGAAAACCTTCATCAGCTTGAGTTTTGAGAGTATTGATTAAGGTGAAAAATAATGTATCCAATTTATATATTCTAAATTGATTCTCATCTTCGGCTACAACAGAACAAAATAAAGTTAATATATATGAAAAATACATTTAATACATAGCATAACTAATATGTATAATAAAATGATCTACCTACATTACACTTGACATCACATTATTTTAACAATACCAAGCAGGTATAACTAATGCATAACATATAATTAGTATGATTTTAGAAAGACAGACAAAAAGTTAAATTTTGTATATTACCTACACGCCGGCAAAGTTGATGTATAAAGTTCTGTACAGGGGCCACTTTATCGGGCATTGTGAATATCGGAGGCAAAATCTTTGATGTACGATCTTGCTGTTTTAAATAGTCAATTATATTGGCGAGTATCTGCATGTAATTTGATTTCTTTGAAAACTCATCTGGCATTTCGAGACCAAATTCTTTGCAGCTCAATTTCATATCATAAGCATACCCCACTGGTATCACACCTATAATAAATTTACAGATATTTTATAACTAACATTGTAATAAGAAATGACATATAAACTATACAATGAAATTATTATTATATCAATAAGAAGATTTCTGTATTTATATCAATACACATATTTCAGAAAATAAGATTTTGTTAATACAAAAAAAAATATCTAAATATTAAGTATACAGAAAGCTCATTAATTAATACTTTATAGTTAAATGTGAAATGACTGATTTAGTAAGAAGCAAAATTTAAAATGATTTTTCTATAATTGTGTATCATAAGCTCACCTGGATTAATTATTTCATGATAGGTATCTTTAATTCCTTCTTCCACATTAAATCTCAGCAGTGTACTTTCCCCGATGATATAATCGGAACCCGTCTTGCAGTAGCAATTGACATCCATCACATAAATATCCACTGTCTTAGCGGCTGAAAACAAACAAATATTAGTATTAAGCTAATAAGATATATTTCAATATCGTTTTTTAGAAGTATTTACTTTAATAAAAAAAAAATCAATGTTGTTTGAATGAAACTTATATGTTTCCGATAACTCTGGTACATAAAAGTAAATAGAGAGATTTCACTGCCTGAGAGCCTAAAAATAACAGCGAAATCTCTTTACAATCTACTAAAAGACTTGGGCTTGTACAGAACTCACATTAATACATTCTTGGAATGTACATCGAAGGCAGCCCTAGTAAGTTTTTTTTAAAATTTGGTTAGGTACGGAGAAGAGCTTGGACAGTGGAGGTGAGCATTTAATGCGCGTTAGATAAGGGGTCCCCTTAAACCTACACCTTTGTCGCAAGTCCCAGGCACTGTTGAAGCTCCTCTACCTACTACGATGGACCCGACACCCGCACGGTGAATACATCGAATGCTAAGAGGTTTCGTCTCTCTGTCTCTTTGTTTCATTTAAAGGAAAACTCACGAAATTTTTTTCCGTTTTCAATTATAGGCAATAACTATGTATAAATAAAAAAGCTAAGAAGTAAATATATTATAATTTAGAATTTAGAACATACTGTTGTCATAACCGCGTAATTTAACAAGATTTTCGATATCCTTTATCTCTTGTTCCTCTGCCTCTTTAGCTTCTCTTTCGTTTTGTTCTATAACAGAAATCGGTATGCCGGTGGAAGTGAACTTTTGATCAGTGAAATTTGTTTTCTGTCTGTGTTTTTTTGCTATTTCGTCATATTTTGTTCGCACTGAGGGCGGTGCATCCTATAAACACAATAACGTGAAAGCGAGGAATATCGTTACGAATAAATATTTCATTATAATTATTTAAATGCTTACCCTCCACAGAGGACCCGCTGCATCAGCAACAGCTGCCAAATTGCTATAATTTACACCTTTTTGTCTTTGTTCTTCTTTATAATCAAGCATATAGAAATAGAAAGCATTTCGAACGGGTTTCTTAGGCATTTTTTGGGATTTGTATGTAATACTTAATTAACTTTAATTTCTCTTCAAATATGCTTTTTGTAAAATATATCTGTAACTGAAGAATTATTACTGTTCACAGACGGGGGAACATAGTGAGATTTTTGATCAATAAAGTGCAAGGGTGCATATATTGCAAAAATAGTTATTCGCGCTTACTATCAAGTAAAGTACCTGCCAAAGTAAACTGTACCCATAAATTTTTTCAATTTGTCGATATGTCATATATTTTCATACTTGATATTTATTTCAACGTATTGGTATATTATGAACTTAAAATATATATATTTTTTATAAAAAAATTGTTTATGAAAACATTTTTTCCCTTATAAAGAACTTAAGGTGAATAAAAAATAAGGTGAACTGTTTCCATATTCTGGTATAATGAGAAAGAATTAAATTACATATTTGTGGTTTGATGCATCAAAAACGTAACTTTGTTGAAAATTTATATTATTGGATACAATAATTAGAAAATTAGGAAAATTTTATTTTTTTATCTGTGGTTCACAATTTAAAAATGTGATTGACGTTAAATGTCTTCCGATCGACTGAGGAATCACGATTGGCGAGACTCGAGTGTAGACTGTGGATGTCCGAAATCGGAATCCGAAGTCGGTGCGGTTTTATTAGTAGATTGTAAAAAAAAATAACTACTGTGTGTGAATTATTCAGGGCATTCGTTGATAAAACAATCTAACAGTGTATATAAAAACGATATAAGTGATATTACAAAGTGAATATATTTTCATAAACACATTTTTTATTCTTGCTCCTTTTGAAGATTAAATCATAAAACAAGGTAAGCTTTAAGTTTATATGATCTCGTTTTTATAACATATCCATTAAGAGTGACTGTGACCGCTTTGGTTAACGTTTTTAAAAATTATAGCTAGGTATATGATGTAATTTAGGTATCTAAAAAAAAATTGATAATTTGTAAGGAATTATTTTCGTCATTAAATATATAATGTTATCTGTTTATATTCTATGTACTCATCTCTAATCGTAACATTACATTCTATCTTAAAATTTTAATTAACTTAAATAATGTTTACAGCATTTAATAATTAGTTAGTCTTTCATCAGAAAATTAACAGTGTATGTGCAAAACAAAAAATAGATATATTACAAACATACATGGGCTAAAAATTATGATTCCTCTCTACATAAAATCTATTTCAGTAAATATTTTGAATATAAAAATATATATTATATATTTCTCAAGTTTTAATGTGATATGTAATAAAATTTTCTTGTATTTTATCTATATTGAGTTAAAAAATATTTGTAAATATGTTTTTAACATTAAAATATTGAATGAAACATATATGTATTGCCTTTCATCATATTGAATTCATATCTTTTGTAACATAGTAGAGCCGTTTCATTTTCAATAATTGGTTGTGCCTGGAAAGATGCAAGAAGCGCTGGAATATAATTACAGATGTTCCAGGTTTTCATAAGCTAACATATATCTATTTGTTTATATTCTAGTTTTACTTAAATATTTGTTCATAACAACTTATTTGTTTCAATAACAGTATTGGTAGAAGACTTGTGGTACTTGGTATATTGACAGAGATAATGCATATCAGCGTAACTAGCATTGGATAATTCCACATCTACATTGGAAGCAGATTATCAGAAGAAAGTTTAAACTGAAATATTTTCTATGTTAGCCACTTTTAAGGTAATTTTTTCACAATCAGTAATAAATTAAACACTAAATTTGCATTTTACAAGGTTAAAAATATCACACTGTGAATAATATTGATGATATTTTCATGGCATATAAGTTTTTACTTTGTATGGTAACTAAGTTTAACGAGAACAAAATTATTAATGAACCACAATAATAACTCTTGATAAAAACGAATGAAATTTTATTGCTTGATGAAATAGGTTTTGGTACAAATTGGAGACATTTCAGTCAGATTTTCTATTATAAATTCTGGAGTGTTTATTATTTATTATGAACTCAAAAATTTCTGAATTCCATCATACATATATCACATTCTAGTATCTTTGTAATTAAACCTTACTTTCTTACTTTTATAATTGAAGAGCAGTTCATGCCATTCTCTGAAGCCATTATATAGAAATATATATTTAAAAAGAATCAACAGTATTTTGATAATTAGATACATAAAAATATTTCATTATACAAATATATATATGTATATGTTTACTATGATTATATATTGGTTAACTGTCTAATAGAATTAAGAATAAGTGCATTATTTTAATACATTAATTATTTTTCATTTTGAATTGCATTGACCGGATTGTTTTAAAATTTAACTATATAATACTAGTATGTTGTATATACAGGGTGACTGGTGAATTACTATCAATATTTACGGAGAATACTCGGTACATGATTCTCATTCGAATTATGTAAAAAAAATAGGCACATAATTTTTGACCAAACTTCCGTATAAATAAATAAAGTGTTGACACGTTCCAAGTGTTCCGAGTGTGGACGCGTGCGGCGGCGTGCTGATACAACACCACGCCGCCGCACGCGTATGTGTGTGTGTGTGTATACCTAATTTGTAGGGTGTTCACACGATGCGTAATTAATTACATAACTTTTGGTTAACTTTACTTAGAAGTTTATTAATATTTATGTTATATTAATTTTTATTTTGTCATATATGATCGTCAAATATCACGTCCTCAAGTATCGATAGTAATTCACCAGTCACCCTGTATATATTCTAATATATTACATAATTTAAATGTTCCCCTCAGTTTTTTTAGTAATTAGAAAAGTGTACTAAAATATGAAAATAACATTTTATGATCTTCCTATCAGTTTTACGAAATTTTATTACACACTTTCCAATGTAATATTGAGTCGAAAATTACTATGAAATAGTTTTTTATAACGCGTATAATGACGGGTTGCGACATGTTCTCTTTAACATAATCTAGATATTGTTATAACCTGTACAATAATTGTTCAGTAACTGTGGGAATGGCAAAGAATTTCTGCAAACAGCCATAGCTTCACGGTTCATAGTTGAACACAAGATATTGATACTTTTTTGTGTTATTCATCCAGTTTTTATAGAAGTACAACATCTTGATGTAAACCAGTTTTTTTTTTATTTGAGAATGAGGTCTTATTTTAATTGATTACTATGTTATAACATATATAGATGAAATATTACTAAGACAGAATATGGCTATGAATTTGTATGAAAATATATTGCTTTATTTTTTATTTTTATTATTTTATTGTTAAATCACATGTATATTGTTAAGTATTACATACAAAGAATTCATTATTTTAAGCATCATTTAAGTTATCTGAACAATTTGCACCTATTGATGATAAATAAAGCTTTTAATGAAAGAATTAATAATATATACCTATATATAAATATTTCGACTCGGTAGTAAAATTGTATAGCATAAGTATTTTTGTATCAAATATCTCTTTAAGTTATAAAAAAATGATGTCTAATTCCGGCCACACACGCTACGGTCTATCGGAGGGGTCATCTTGTGCTGGTAGACCGGATTGTGTGTGGGAATAGACCTGTGCAGTTTATTGGACGCTACCAGTTGCGGTTGACCTGCACAGGTATACCTGCACAGATTACCTCACCATCAGACCGTAGCGTGTGGCCGGCATTAGGATTAAACATATATACAGAAGATTTATATTCCCTATATTTACTAGAAAATAACCTTTTTACAATAAGAATTATATTGTTATCTTAATATCCATTTCAACAAGTCTCCATCGTTAATAGAAATGCGTATTAGACGTATTATTTAAATAAATACATGATTGTAATGAAACTGTATAAGAATCCCTACTAATATTATAAATGCGAAAGTAACTCTGTCTGTCTGTCTGTTACGCTTTCACGCCTAAACCAGTGAACTGATTTTAATGAAATTTGGTACAGATATAGAGTTGATCTTTAGAAAGAACGTAGGATAGTTTTTATCCCAGACTTTTGAAAGGTTCTCTTGGAAACGCGATATAACCGAACTCCACGCGGGCGTAGCTGCGGGCGGAAAGCTAGCAATGTAATAAAATAATTTTACCAGATATTTGTGTGTTCTAAATTTGCATCGTGATATAAACGAGACTTTTACCGTTTTTCATTCAATAAGCTACGTTAATACTATAATGTGAGAAGTGTAAATGACAAACTTAACGCTACGTATGTAGAGTGATCCGAACTTGTAAGCTTATAGCTATCAAACTAAATTAATGCGTACTTTTTCATACAATACTCTTCAATATATAAAACTTTTAATATCTTCAATGTGTTATAAAACTTCCCATTTTAAGTATTTATTAAATTATTTCTGGTATATATTTATTACAATAAAATTGTTGGAAATTATATAAATTTTCTATAATAATAAGTCCGATATTCAATTTCATTCGACTGGCTGTACAATTAGTATGTTTTTTTTATTTCAAGGAATTTTTATCGTAATACAACACTGCCGCGGTAATATAAGATAAACCGTACAAATACGGTTTTCTGTCGAAATTTAATTAGTGGTATCAATGAAAACATTTTAGGAATTCTTACATTTTTAACATGTGTCACGTGTATATTTGTATTTTATATGTATGTATGTAAAATTTTATATGTTTGGAGATTTATGTCTACAGTTTTCTACCTATAAATAGAAAAGTATGTAATAAAAAAATCTATATTAATATAAGAAGTATTTTATGAATAGAGAATTTAAATTAATTGAGCCATCATATTTTTTTTTCTTATATTAAATTCGGAAAATTATATTTCTAATATTTCAGTTAAAGCATAGAGATAATTAAATAAATATTTATTTTATTATATATAGCGAATGTGTTCGTTTAAGAATTTTATATAGATTTGAAAGAAATGCCCATATTTTAATCTTATGTGTATATGTATAAAATTCTCGTGTCGCAGTGTTAGACAGAGAACTCCTGCGAAACGGCTGGAAAGATTTTGATGAAATTTTGTGAGCATATTGAGTAGGTCTGAGAATCGGCCAACATCTATTTTTCATACCCCTAAGTCATAAGGGTTGTTGACCCTTAACTTATTTATTTTCAGACGCAATTTTTTCTTTTTATATTTTTATAATGTAGCATTAAAAAATACATACCAAAAGTTTTACTTTTTTATATCACTAACCTCTATTTTTTTAAATGGCAAAACAACGATTGCCATATAGTATCTAATAAAATCGTTCTGAAACTTGAATACCGTGGAATTATTGTCCACTTTGGATGTTAGTTACGGCGATGGTTAAAAAAAAAAGGAAACCAAATGAAGCAAAGAGTTTCTTTACACAAGAGGAAATATTATTTTATACCAAAAACGGTATAATATCTCCAGAACGTTTAAAGTTTGGAACAAAATCTAACCATTAATATAATCATTTTTTATAGTATACTAGCTTTCCGCCCGCATCTTTCATGGAGTTCGGTTATATCGCGTTTCCAAGAGAACCTTTCAAAAGTCTCTGATAAAAACTATCCTATGTTCTTTCTCAAGGTCAACTCTATGTCTGAACCAAATTTCATTAAAATCAGTTCAGTGGTTTAGGCGTGAAAGCGTAACAGACAGACGGACGTACAGACAGAGTTACTTTCGCATTTATGATATTAGTAGGGATATTAGTACGGATAATGTAATTTTATTCAGAAAATTTATATAATAGTAAATTATTAATACAATTTCCTCTATACTAATTTGATATTCGTGTCCTTATACAAACATGTTTCATAGATATCAGAAAACAGAAGCCAATATGTAAATATGTAGATTACACTAACATTAATATTACAAGGTTGTATGTATGTACTTACAGTGTTGCGAAGACAAGTATTATAATATATTCATAAAATAAAATGAATATTTTGAGTTGAAATCATAAAAAAATATGTATGTTTTTTATATGAAAATTCTAAAAAACCGTTTGTTCAGTGATATATGTAGTTTTTAACGTCGTCATCGTCATCAGCCTATCAGAGCCCACTGCTGAGCAAAGGCCTCTTTCTCACATGGAGAAGGTTTGAGCATTAATCACCACGCTTGCTCAAGACGGGTTGGTGATTTCAAACTTATAATTGTGAAATTATAAGTCCAGGTTTCCTCGCGATGTTTTCCTTCACCGTTTGTCAGTGGTATCTAAATACTCTCAGAAACTACATATGACTCGGAAAAATCACATTGGTACTTGACGGGATCGAACCCGCGCCCTCAACCATCGGCTAAAGCTAGTTAAGTAAAATAAATCCAAATGCCTAGGATTCGAAATAGCTACTTTCTGAATTTCGCGTTCCACTCAACTCACTTATAGCGCTCAATAGGTAAATTATCATTATATACTAATCTTCTTCTTCTTCTTCTATCTTCTATCTTCTTCTTCTATATATATAAAAATGGATTGCTGTTCCTTAGTCTCGCTAAAACTCGAGAACGGCTGAACCGATTTGGCTAATTTTAGTCTTGAAATACTCCTGGAAGTCCAGGGAAGGTATAAAAGCTGAGAAAAATTGATTAATTACTGGGAAAACCATAAAAACAGCCCTTTTCTATTTCCCATACAAAAGTTGTTTTTGACATTAGATTTGACAACTAACTAATATGTCAATTCTGTTTGATTTAAACAGGAAAAACCTGATTATTTATGGCCTGTAAGACGGTATAGAATTCGACTGGTCAGCTATACGGTCTACATATATTACTCTTGACCAAACTAACGCGGACGAAGTCGCGGGCAAAAACTAGTAGTTTATATAAATTAGACATGCATTCATGTATTGTTGTTAGGCAACGCATAGATTATTATCGGTTGCGCTGGAACGAATTAAAAAGTCAAAAGAATTATGACTGCATATTAGTCAATAACAATTTTCTGTTTAATTATATTAGATTGGGCACAGCCAATACTATAATATTTTTTCTTGGTTTTGTCCAAATAAATTGTGTTTAAATAAATCGGAGGTTCTCAATATTTTTCTAATAGACCATTTTCAGTATTACCGTTTTCGGTGGATTCTGCAACTTCATTTCTATTACCCGAAAATTGACAAAAATGGAAAGAGCGGATTTAATAATTAAAACTTCTTTTTAGTCAGACAAGTTTACGTAGTACATGCATTTCGTTGATAGTTGAAGTGAAAGGAATATTATGTCTTTACTATGGAAATAGATAATTTTTCTTGGCTTACGATTTAACCTATACTTTAAATAAGTTTTTTTTTGTCACCACGATTTAGATTTTAGACCATCAATGTTTAACGATTCACCTAAATCACTTTGAGAATCATCGATTGTATATCGATTTGAACGAACTATTCAGATATATTTGTTAAAAGGTTTTAATGTTGAACTAAAATGAGAGCATCTATAATAATAGTATATATTTAAATGAAACTATGTAATATCTTCCGATTACTATGCGTATTTTATTATTAAAAACTACATACTCCCGAAGTATCCGTTACTTTGTAGTAACCGTGATCACAAGCAGGCTAGATGATAATATATATTCAGAAAATATTATATATTTTAAATGAAACTAATATTATTCGGATTACTACGCGTATTTTATTATTATTTAAACTACATACTCCTGACGTTTCAATTGCTTTGAGGTCTATGATAATCTTCTATCTATACAGGGTGACTGGTGAATTACTATCAATATTTAAGGAGCATACTCGGTACATGATTCTCATTCGAATTATGTAAAAAAAATAGGTACTTAATTTTTGACCAAATTTCCGTATAAATAAATAAAGTGTGTACACGTTCCAAGTGTTACAAGTGTGGACGCGTGCGACGGCGTGCTGATACAACACTACGCCGCCGCCGCGTCTGTGTGTGTGTGTGTATACCTAATCTGTAGGGTGTTCATACGATGCGTAATTAATTACATAACTTTTGGTTAAATTTACTTAGAAGTTTATTAATATTTATGTTATATTAATTTTTATTTTGTCATATATGATCGTCAAATATTACGTCCTCAAATATCGATAGTAATTCACCAGTCACCCTGTATATATATAAAAATGAATTGCTGTTCCTTGGTCGCACTAAAACTCGAGAACGACTGAACGGATTTATCTTATCATAGTCTTGAAATGTTCGTCGAGATTTAGGGAAGGTTTAAAAGCTGAAAGATTTTTATTAATTTCCGGGAAAACCCTAAAAACAGCGCTTTTTTATCTCCAATACAAACGGTTTTTTGAAATTAGATTTGACAACTAACTAATATGTCAATCATTTTGTCGCACTTCACAACACAGAGATTTATGGCTTACAGGTAAACTCCAAAAATATAAATAAAAAAACGTAATAGATATTTCTTGATTATAGGGCTATACGAAGTTCGCCAGGTCAACTAGTCCGAAAATATAAGTTTCATTTAAATGAATATTCGCGAAGGCTTAGACTTAGACCTCATGTTAATATATTTTGTTCCAGAAGGATCTATAGTATCCAAATGTCAGCTAGAATGCTGGTTTCATGATGAAACTTCACCCCGGTTGGCACACGGGTCTCGATGGCTACTTTATGATGTACCTGACGAAATGGAAGCGGGCAGCTGTGCTCTTATTGTTCATCTGGATAGCTGTCACATATCTAGTCATATCGCCTCTAAGGTAAGTCATAAGTAGTTTAATCTTCATACATTTACTCTGTCATATTCTGGTCATAGAGTGCATTGATGACCTGGCTCGAAGCAGGCGAAGGTACGGAAGGCTTTTAGTGAGTGGAAGTCTGACACTTCTTGTCCCACCCAGGGAAAAAGAGGTCATTTGATGAATTTCCCCTTTAAAGAGAAGACAGTGACAATTATGTATTGCGTACGTAAAATTTAAACACGTATTGAATGTTTCCTCAAACTATTTAATTTCCATTTTATATTTTTAGCAATAATATATTTTTTAATTTTTTGATATAAAGCCTATTTTAGTAATGTGTGTATATATTTTTGTTATTTTTAATTAGTATAATCTAATTTAGTGGACAGTAAGATTACTAATATTATTAATATAGAAGAATGTGTGAATTTTTTTGCACTTTTATATCAAAATCTACTTATTTGATTTTGATTTAACAAGGTAGGTCAGTCATCTAAACTAAATTTTTGTGTGATCATCTTAGGATAAGACATAATAGTTATCCCGTGACAAAGACTATAGTTTGATTATCATACAGTTTAAACACTTCATACTTCTTTGACCCTAATTTCGAAATCTACACGAACAAAGTCGCGGTCAAAAAATAGTTCATCATATCTTTGTTAGCAGAAAAAATTACATTTCATCATGATATGAAGTAATGCGATAACTAACAAAGTAACTTCCTTAATTATAACAATGGAACGGTATACAATTTTCTTTAGCGGTTTATACTGAAATACTATTTTATGATTTCGAATAAAAGTTAAAATGTATCGAGTGTTAGTTTACATTTGATTAATTATTATCACGTCATCAGCCTATCAGAGCCCACTGCTGAGCAAAGGCCTCTTCTCACATGGAGAAGGTTTGAGCATTAATCACCACGCTTGCTCAAGACGGGTTGGTGATTTCAAACTTATAATTAGAATCTATAAGTTCAGGTTTCCTCACTATGTTTTCCTTCACCGTCTGTCAGTGGTGTCTAAATACTCTCAGAAAGTACATATGACTCGGAAAAATCACATTAGTACTTGCCCGGGCCAGGATCGAACCCGCGCCCTCATGCATGAGAGGCGGGACTTTAACTACTAGGATACCACTGATTAATTATAAAAACTAGTTATTTTTTTATAAAGTATAAACTGTAATGAAATAACAGTGGCTTGGCGGGTGTATGATAAATATAAGGCAAGGTTACAATAATTATTGGCTAGTGTATATTGTTATTTTGCTGATATTATGCTGTGTACAGACTGCACATTTCTATTCAGTAGCAAAATCCAAAATAATATTTCATTATTCTTATTAAATCCTTAGATTTACTTAATAACTTATTATTGAGTATTTAAATTGACATTTTAATAATGTGTCAGTTATACGTTTATATATAGATATATGTATATATTTTTTCTATCTTTATATATATTTTCTATGTGTGGTTCTTTGTCTCTTCACGCTAAAAATATTAGTGATTTAAAAAAAAAAAAAAATTGTAGTAACATTAGCTGACCCGGCAATCGTTATTTTGGCATATAAAAAAATAGTGGTTGGTGATAAAAAAAGTAAAAATTTTGGGTTGTATGTATTTTTTTTAAGGTTACATTATAAAAAAATAAAAACAAAAAATTTCGTCCGAAAAAATTTTTTATTTAGGATGAACAACCGTTATGACTTAGGGGTATGAAAAATAGATGTTTGCCGATTCTCAGACCTACTCAATATGCTCACAAAAGTTCATCAAAATCAGTCTGGCCGTTTCGGAGGAGTTCTATGTCTAACACCGCGACACGAGAATTTTATGTATAAGATGCCTAGTACGTTCATTAGAATACACTTAAATTTCTTGATAGTACAGCATCTAAGCGCACGGTAGTGCGCCGGCCAAGTTCCACAGGCCGGCGCACTACCGTGCGCTATATTTACACGAACCGTTTCGACCCACTTTTGACCCCCCTGTAGCTCAGTGCCTATTGCAAGTACAGAGATAAAATTTTACCTACGTAATCATATAATAGTACTAAAGCAGTATGCCAAATTTCATAGATAAAACTTCAGTAGATCCTGAAATATGACCCTGTGAAAATAGCTAATTTTGGCACTGACTCACTGACAGGTAATCAAAACCTCTAGGCCACTTCCCATTGTTTTAGCATTATGAAATTTGGTACACAGGTTGTGTGTTATATGTAGATTAACAAAAAATTAAGAAATTTAAGAAATCGGTCAAGCGTGAGTTGCCTCAATTCTAAATATCGAATTTTTAATAAATTCGACCCACTTTTGACCCCCTGTAGCTCAGTGTCTATTGCAAGTACAGAGATAAAATTTAAATAATTAAATTAACCTGGATAAAATTTAAATAATTAAATTAACCTGCCAAGTTTAAATTTAGAAGTATTATAATTTTAGATATTTTTAACCAAGCACCTACGTATTTTCACAACTATACCATATTTTAAGTTGGGTGTATGGTAAACTGAATTTCGGCCAGATGGACCGTTGACGTGAATAAGGTGGCGGGTAGTGGCTGGATGTGGAAGGCAGAGGACTGGGTGTGGTGGCGAGTCTTGGGAATGGCAAATGTTTACCAGTGGATCATGCTGTTGATGAAGATGATTATGATCGATTTCAAAGTGCATCTAAACTTGGCATTAGATTGGATTTCACCCCTTTTTTAGGCAAACAATTAGCCGATTGGAACTTGGCCCCCTTTTTAACAGGCATGTTTTTGGTGAGATAATATTTACAGGTTTTATGAAGTTATGTACAGACGAAAGTCGAGGGCAGAGCTATAATGTAATAATATCCTGTGTATCCTCACAATGGAATCCAAGACGTAGTGAAAAGTCATGACAATTGAAAAGTTTTACAATGCAATAATAAAGTTTGTCGTCTAAAAAGTTTTTTACTTATACTTGCATGAGATACGACTTGGTTGGTTTCAAATTGATCTGGATACGGATTTATATATATTATTTTTAATATTATATTATTATTATTTTTGTACTAGTTTTCTATATGTTTAAATTACTTAAATATTTTGAAATAATATTATAATAGAAGTTGAGATAACGCTAAACTAATGTTTTATTTTATCTTATTCAGTAAACAAATTGATAGATATATAATAATTAAAAATATAAAATATTTATAAATTAAAATACAAGTAAATAATGAGGATAATATTTTTATCAAATCTATAAATAAATGAAACCTTATTTTTCCTGGTCTCATTGTTATTCAAGAACTGAATTAATTACATTCAACTTTATTTTTAATATTTTTCTAATCATTGGTATAACTTTCTTACATAAAAAGATAATTAAAAACTTAATTACCTAATATATTTTTCATATTTCCTCTTTTTCTAAAGGTGGCACTTTACTTGTCGTTTATTTGTTGTGTTCGGCCAAATAAGACCATGTGTGGAGGATTTATTCGTCTTCATTTGACATATTTGCACAAATAAGACACATACATAAATAAGCGGAAACGCGTAAAGACGTGTTGTTGGCATGCCAAGTGTGGATGTCGTGTTTGCGCTATTTGGACAAATGCGGCGAATACGCTACGCGCATACGCAAATTAGCGCCATTTCTATATCGTTTACAAAGATCGCCTAATTCCAAAGTAAAATTATTTTTGAGTTACTAAGTTGTATTCGTCGGTTCCAAGGACGCCCTTAAAAATACATGGTCGAAATAATGAGTGATTTTTTATACTATAGCTTCATTTAAATGAAACTAATATTTTCGGATTTTACTTCGCGTTTTATTTTAGAAACTACATACTCCCGACGTTTCGGCTACTTTTCAGCAACCGTGATCACGGGCAGACGAGATGTGAGTGTCTGTCAGTTGGTCTGGTCATTTTATCTCCTACCGCCATCGATTTCTTAATTGTCTTGCGTACCGCTCTGGATGCCGGCAAAATGCGCTCACGGTGTCTCGAGGTCCTGCGGTGTGGTTACGGACATGGGATTTTATATTTTTAAGAAGAGGATCCCAGGTGTTTGATAGGTTCCAGCCATCTTCTCTTTTGAGGGATGGATCTATGAAAGGACAATGGACATTTTTATGCCAAACTAGATGACCTGTCTCTTCCGATGATTTGTGATAAAAATAATAGATTTATATAAAAACAAATTATGACCTGAATACTTAAAATATGTTATTCCATTAGAAAACTTCATCTTTTACACAGAATTCAAAATAAAATAATCCCTACTAAGATTATAAATGCGAAAGTTACTCTGTCTGTCTGTCGCTTTCACGCCTAAACCACTGAACTGATTTTAGTGAAATTTGGTACAGAGATAGAGTTGACCTTGAGAAAGAACATAGGACAGTTTTTATCCCAGACTTTTGAAAGGTTCTCTTAGAAACGCGATATAACCGAACTGCACGCGGGCGAAGCTGCGGGCGGAAAGCTAGTTAGTTACATAAATAAAATATTGACATGGCGGAATAGTCTTCAATCATCACCAATTGAAGCAATGGATTAAAAAAAAAACAATTAAAAGTACTTAGATTTACCTAACTGTTATCAAATTCTTATCGAGACTTGTGTTGTCGTAATTACTTTGACATCAAAGAATGTGTTTTAAAAGAACGTATGGAATTTAGTTTATTGATTTTTCTGCTGTTTATTTTTTGTTTTTTTCCTCAAACTGTAACATGTTCTTGTAATACCTGGATTTTCTCGTTGGCTTCTCATAACAAACATTCCAAGCATAGTTTGATTTGATATCAAATATTTAATAATGACCAATAAATATATATAGCAACTTATTGGTAACACGTGATTTTGACATTAATTGACATTAAAACCTTTAAGGTAATTGCTGGACGTATAATTTTAAACCTTGGTCTTTTTAATATCTAGCGATTTAAAAAAAATAGATTATAGACCAGAAAGATTACGTTTTGTTTTTATTTTTTTCATTATATATATTTATCGACTTAATTATTTTTTTATTCATTTCTAGTTTTAATGAACGTCGTTAAAACCTTTATATGGCTTTTTATTCATGAAATCAATTAGAAGTTATAGCTCGTTGGGCTGTAAAAAATAATTTGTGTTGTTAACAACAATATTTAAGCAAACATTAAATAACTCTAATGGTTTTAATATATACAAATAATAATGGTTTATTGTTTTATATAATATGTATGTATTTTTACAATGTGAGGTATAGGCCATTCTTTTAAGCAGAGTGCTTATGTTAATACATCACGTTCTCCCATTATATGTATATAATAAATTAATAACATACATATAAATCTTTGTATGTATTTTCTTCTTTATATAAAGTGATGTGTTTATAGTAAGATTTTCGCGAGTATTCATTTAAATGAAACTAATATTGCCTGATTTACTACCTGTCATTTTATTATTTTGAAACTATATATTCTCGACTTCTTAGTTACTTTGCTGCAACCGCGATCATATGGCAAATAAATTTTATTATAAATTTATTTTTTAAAGAATTGAACTTAACGGGACCTTGTCCACAAATTATAATTCATTTGTTGAATATGAAATAAATTGAACATTAAATAAAACTCATAGTTTTAGGATTATACTAACCATATTTTATTGTTGTAAAAATTACATACTGTCGACGTTTCGGTTACTTTCCCTAACGTCGGGAGTATGTATATAGTTTTGGACAATAATAATATACGCGTAGTATAATTCGAAAAGTATTAGTTTCATTTAAATGAATACACGCGAAAGCCTTAGATTACTTTAAATTGAACATTAACTGCCTTATCTATAGATTGAATTGATCTGATTTTGCTATCTGAGCATTGGATATTAAAATTTCATACATACATATAAATAGCCTTCACAGTTAGATCAAGTCCAATGTAATTTAACAAAATTTCATCTACTGCATATAGATGCTGTAGTTGTAATAGTGGGTGGGATTTAAAAATAAAATAAAAAATACTAGTAATATACAGGGTGACTGGTGAATTACTATCAATATTTAAGGAGAATACTCGGTACATGATTCTCATTCGAATTATGTAAAAAAAATAGGTAGTTAATTTTTGACCAAATTTCCGTATAAATAAATAAAGTGTGGACACGTTCCAAGTGTTTCAAGTGTGGACGCGTGGTGTTGTTTCAGCACGCCGCCGCACGCCTGTCTGTGTGTGTGTGTGTGTATACCTAATCTGTAGGGTGTTCACACGATGCGTAATTAATTACATAACTTTTGGTTAACTTTACTTAGAAGTTTATTAATATTTATGTTATATTAATTTTTATTTTGTCATATATGATCGTCAAATATCACGTCCTCAAGTATCGATAGTAATTCACCAGTCACCCTGTATAGGAAATACATGGTTCTTTTTAAGTTGGTATTCGAAAATCTTATATATCATTAGTTTAACGTCTCTATTTTGGGCAACACGGAATCATAAAGAAATTAGTTTTATCATATTAATCATATTGTATGGTTTTTATTATTTCGTGGAAATTTATATAATTTCCTTTTAAGTGTTAACAGCTGTTTTATGGGTTGTTTTATGTTGAGAGCTCAATCAAAGCTAGATTCTGATAACAATTGATACCCTTTTATATTTAAATAATGGATATCTCTTCTGAATTTCTTGTTAAAATTTTAGTATAGTATTTACCTTTGACACGATAGCTCAGTCTACGGGATGGCGGCATTGTTTATCAGTCTTAGGTTCGATTTTTTTTTTTATATTATTGGGCATTAATATTGGATTATAATTACAGATGCGACAGCAGTTCAGAGGAATCGATTGATTTCCAGGAGAGATTGAAGACGGCGTCTCTACAGCTGGAACTTCTAAAACAACAGCACAGTAACTTGATATCACAAATAAAGAAATCTTCAGGGTAAGTCTGCTTCTGTAGTTAATTGCTATATTTATTCATTGATTTGGAAGTAGGATTGTGTATGTTTGTTTCTAACGAAAAATCTACTAAACGAATTAAATAGCATCTCTCATATTTAATCGAAGTTTGGGGAAGTGCTGCAAAAACAAAACTAGCTAACTTACAAGTTGCACAAAATAAACTTATCAAGCTACTTTTAAACTATTCATATCTAACAGCCACTAAAAATTTACAAAGATACTAAAATAATGAACATCAATCAATTATATACTTATAACGTTTGTATCTTTATTCAAAAGTCACTTAATAAAAAGTAAAACATTTACAGTAATATAACATTTACCAAGCGCGATAGTAAATGTAGCAACCGACGAATTAGCCTTTTAATTCTGCCAAAAATAAGAACTAATTATGGAAAAAAAATGATCACATTTAAAAGAGCACAGCTTTATAATAAAATACCTTCTTGTATAAGGAAGACGAAATCACTTAGCGCTTTTAAAACGCAACTCGCGCAATATCTTATCAACTAACGCATACAGTGGGTGCGTTTTTCTTTTCTTTTATTCTCTTATTAATTTCTTACTAACCAATACAGATTAATTAATAAAACCAAGTGTGACGAATGTTAACAATGTTATATGTTTAAGTTAAAGTTAAAGTATTTTCGTCGAGCGAAGACGCTAAATTTATATTATAGTATATTAAGCGTCGCATCATTTCCTGATCCATTTAATTTTATCGGTCATAAAAACATTTATAAAAGCTTCCATCTTGCAGATTGAAAGTTAATCTAAACGAAATAGATGCAGCCGAGTTCCACAACGGCGGCGGGCCGTCCGAGGAGTACGAGAATCTCAGGAGGAGAATATACTCTAATACAAAGGAAATATGGTACTTTATCAATCACGAGCTGACGAAGCTCGTCAAAGACGACGTCCAGCCGGATAAGGTGCAAGCGATTCTGGACCAAGTTGCTGATAGAAAAAGGTCGGTATTTGTATGACATTTTATTGTTACAGCTGGATTAGAAACAGATCGATGAAGTACATACGATTCTCAAACTTATTTGTATAATAATAAAGTTGTTTTCACAATGAATTGATTTAGATAGTATCCCCAATTCCCTGTTACATCCAGGCAAAATAAATCCAAGCGATTCTCGATCGTATTATATATTGAATAGAGTAATTATTTGAATGTCACTTTTTCCTATATTATCCCTCGCTTCATCGAAATACACCCGCAAGCGATTCTCGATCGTATGTCATATATAATTGTATCAGATATTTGCATGTGACATTTTAATAGGACTTCCGTATCCGTTCAACAAATCGTCGTCACGGTACAAAAGAATCGTAATAGAATAATAATTGCAAAACTCGAACCATTGTGTACTGTTTGTTGCAATACGACCTTATACATAAGTGCACTTGATAATTCCGATTGGAAAATAAAAATGGCGCGTAATTAGACAAGCTAGTTGTCAACCGCGGTTCCGTCTGTGTTATGAATAAATTCAGAGGGATATTAAAATTATACTAAAAAGTTTAACTTTGTGACTGGCAGCGACATCTGTTGTCTGAATTAAGTAATTACTAATAAGTTGCAACCAAGTTTAAGTATACAACATTTCATAATAAATTATATATACATACATTTACAATTGAGATAGGCCCAACGTTGTATGTAGTAATAGTTTTTTTTTTCTCTAAAGATGTAAGGCATTTTTTGACTTACGTTTACTTGCGTGCCGGTATAAACAATTACATATTGATTTTGAAAGAAAAGAGACTTCTTTTGACTTTAAATTATTCATCTACTATTAATTATTAACAAAATAAATATGTAGTAGAAAATAGTAGTTTATTGTTAATCTTAACATAAAATGTCAAGTATGTATTTGAGAAATTACTGAAAAATACCATTTAGTTAAGTGATTTATTAATCTACGAAGGTTATAAGCTGAATAGATTACAATAAGTCTAATAAACTATAAATGTCCACTTAAAATATAACACCTACGTAGAAAACATTCCTACTATTAAACTAGCAATACAATATACTTTTTTATAATACAAGCGAAGCCGGGTACATATTGTATTTTCTTCCACAGATCACTGCTATCAGATCAAGAGAAACTCCAAAAATTCGATGGTTACGAGGATTGGAGGCGGTCTGAGGCGAGTGAGGTCAGTGACCTTATTCAGAAGAGGCTGAAATACCTACAGAACCCACCAGACTGTAGGGACGCTAGGAAGGTCATATGCAACTTGAATAAGGTTAGTATCATATACTAGCTGCGCCCCGCGGTGTTACCCGCGGATTTCCGGGATGTAAAGTAGCCTATGTGTTATTCCTGGACGTCAGCTTCCTGTATACAAAATTTTATCAAAATCGGTTCAGCCGTTTGAGCGTGAAGAAGTAACAAACATACACACACACTCACAAACCTTCGCAATTATAATATTAGTAGGATATACTAGCTGAACCGGCAAACGTTATTTTGCTATATAAAAAAATAGTGATAAAAATTTAGGGTTGTATGTATTTTTTTATGTCAAATTATAGAAAAAAAGAAAAAATATTGGTGAACAACCCTTATGAATTAGGGCATGAAAAATATATATTCACCGATTCTCAGACCTACTCAATATGCTCACAAAATTTCATGAGAATCGGTCAAGCCGTTTCAGAGGAGTACGGCAACGAATATTGTGAATTTGTGACACGAGAATTTTATATATAAGATAATATACTCAAATGAGACACTCAAGTAAAACACTAAAAAGAATTTTGAATATTAAGCATTTAAATAGGTTTAGGGAAGGTTAATAATTGTGTGACGTCACATTAAGAGGGGGGAGGTATAAAAAGTGACAACCTATGACAGAGAAGAGGGGAGGGATTCAAAAGTCCTAAAATTAGTATGACGTATTTTATGGATGGTCCTCTATAAATAATATACATTTAAATCACTTTACCACATGTTCGCATCTTCACACTACGTACTACGCGTTTCACGTTTCTCATTCAATATACGTTAGTATGGATAAAGGTTTTTGAATGAAATACTGCTAACGCTACGTATGTAGTGACGACGCGAGCTTGTTATTTTATTAGTGCCTTCCCATAAAAAGATATTAAAATGTAAGAATCATATATATATTATTTAATCAATGTATCTAAATGATTAATGAATATAATAATATGTTATTAAAATTTATCGCAAACCTTTTAAATTGCGGATTTTCCCAACGACGACATTAAAAGTATAAACATAATAATAATATACATAAAATATATTTTATGTATGAATATACCTATATAGTATTTTGTCTCTAATATGATTGAAGAAAAAATAATTGCAGGATAATTCAAATTGGTTTCTTAAGAGGTTCTAAAAATAATTTATTTTATAAATAGGATATTAAAAGTCTCGTTAATCTGTCATACCAAGCACTAATACTTTTTAAAACACAAATATTTTCACGTAAGCGAAGTCGCTTTCATAAACTAGTATATGCTAACAAAACAATTTGTTTTCGTATGAGTGTAATGTAACAATATCTGCGGTATTCAATGCATGTTTAATAACAGGAAATGTTTTAACAGAGAACGGATGAAATGATGCTTTAAATTATAATGATTTTTGTAGTACATATATAAAATATTAATTCATTGATTCTAATCATGACGCTATTGCTCAGTTGGTTAAGTAACTGAAACGACATATTCCAAAAGTCGCTGGATCGATTTTTCATTCTAATATTATACTAGCTTTCCGCCCGCAGCTTCGTCCGCGTGGAGTTCGGTTATATCGCGTTTCCAAGAAAATCTTTCAAAAGTCTGGGATAAAAACTATCCTATGTTCTATCTCAAGATCGACTCTATCTCTGTACCAAATTCAATTCAAATCAGTTCAGTGGTTTAGGCGTGAAAGCGTAACAGACAGACAGAGTTACTTTCGCATTTATAATATTAGTAGGGATTTGTATGTATATATGTACTAAGGACATGAAAATTTTTTCCTCACACATGATTAATTTCAGTTCTATGACGTAATATAATAAAACTATTACAATATTGAAGTGTTTTTTTTATTAAAAAATATATTGAATATTTATTTAGTATGGTTTTAGTATTTATATGAATAGTAATAAGGCAGTGATTACGCGGTTGAGTAAATGTATATAATTACGATTATTATCGTGTTGTCTGCGGATATATATTACAGGCATGTTTTGTTTCAACAGACATTGTGTTATTAACACTTGTATGCACACACACACACAGACACAAACATACACACACACACACACACACACACACATGCATACATATATACTTTTACTCTTAATATAAAATGCGTGTGCGTTTGTTAATTCAAGGCAAACAAATTTCTGCTAAATACTTCACATGACATAGAAAATAATATATACTAAAACTGTTGACTGTCTTTTGTTTTGTTTCGTCTTAATCCGGAAACGGCTAAACGCATTTTGATGTGATTCAATGGATTATAGGTAATTTAAAAGACTACAAATGTTATATATATCGCTATATAAATAAAAAAATGACTGAATTTTAATATACTAGATATTTTAAATGCCAGTTTATGAAAGAATAGATGAAAGTATTGACTTGTTATTCACCTATTTCATAGAACAATTTTCTATAGATTTAGTAATAACATGTCAAAAGTTGTAGGAAGTTAATATTAAATAGAAACTAACTTCCTACGCTACTCTGTACCATGCAAGACTATACCAACCAACCAACAGTACATTCATCCATCCATCTATATTCAACTATTTATTCTTCATCCATCATTCTTTCATCATACTAATCATATTTTTATTGACACTATATATATATAATAGTTTGTTTTATTCATCGGGGTCTTCTATCCGGGATTAAATTGTCCGCTAACACATACACGTCGGTCAATGACCTACTTCATCTCCAAAAACTTACACTAGTATGTTAACTATGTTTCATTCGTTTTTACTCTACGTGAAAATATCGTGAGGAATGTAGAATTTTTTTTTATTATGTTTATTTGAATGAAGATTTTTTTTATATGAAACATAGTAAAAACAAAATCTTTATTTTTGTATGTAATACGAATAAATAAATTAGCAAAAGGTCAATGAACTTTGTATATTATTTTAAAGAAATGCTATTGTTATTTCTCTTACAAAGTAACTTTAAATAAAAACAGTATCAAATAACTAATTTGATTATTTCAAATTATATTAATAATTACTTAATAAAAACTATGAATTCAAATACTTTATAAAAAAATCAGTATTTGTGCCTTGAAGAGTGTATTTTTTTTTAAATAAAACAAAAATATCAAAATAAATCTTTATTTGTACTTATTAAATAGTAATAGTTTATAATTTTATCTCCAGGGTTGTGGTTTTGGCTGTCAGCTTCATCACATAGTGTACTGCCTGATCTTCGCGTACGCTACTGAGAGGACCCTCATATTAAATTCTAAGGGTTGGAGGTATAATAACAAGGGTTGGGAGTACGTGTTCCACCCTATATCAGAAACTTGCACCACCGCTTATGATGACAAGGTGGTGCCCTGGCCAGGTGAGCATATATATATGTATAATACTAGCTTTCCGCCCGCAGCTCCGCCCGCGTGGAGTTCGGTTATATCCCGTTTCCAACAGAACCTTTCAAAAGTCTGCGATAAAAACTATCCTGTTCTTTCTCAAGGTCAACTCTATATGTACCAAATTTCATTAAAATCAGTTCAGTAGTTTAGGCGTGAAAGCGTAACAGACAGACAGAGTTACTTTCGCATTTATAATATTAGTAGGGATATATAGTTTATTATAAATCTTTTGTGTGGTTTAATAATATAATACATATTAAACAACTATTAAATGAAACTAATTTTATTCGGATTACGGTCACGGTTGCTGGAAAGTAACCTAATCGAACAGAGTACATGTGTAGTTGTAATATAATCAAAAACTCCTAGAACATACATATTCCGAATAATAATAATAGTTTGTATGTGTTATTTAATACCATGTTTAAATATAGGTTCGATCCTTACAGCGTCGTACGACGCGAAGGTGGTGTCTCTACCATTCATCGATTCTATATCACAGAAGCCCAAGTTCCTACCACTTGCTATACCTTCCGACCTCGCTCACAGGTAACGAAAACAGATATTGATATAAATACATACATAATAGCTTGAAAATATACATTACTGAAATGATATTTTATATTCATCATCAGCCTATCAGAGCCCACTGCTGAGCTAAGGCCTCTTCTAACATGGAGAAAATAAATTTTATATTATTATTTTATCAATTCGTGTCATATAAATTCAAAAATAATAAATGTAGTAATTGCGAGTTTATATAATAACTGCATCTATTAATTATTTCATTCATTCATTCATTCATTCATTCATTCATTCGTTCGTTCATGATTACAGGATAGTCCGTTTCAACGGTGACCCGTCGTCGTGGTGGATCGGTCAGATGCTCAAGTACGTGTTGAAGCCTCGCGCCGCCATGCAGAAAGCCATCAACGAAACAATAGCTAAGATGAACTTCAAGAATCCCATAGTCGGGTGAGGAAAATACGTTATTTGAGCAAACTTTATTTGTTGTATGTGATTTTTGAAGCAGCTAAGAAAATGTACCTATATTAATATACTAACTGTTAGTGACATCTATATATAATTAATCTATAAACTTGAAAAATAAAATAACTGTAAATCCTTACATTTCAAGAAATACACGGAATTACGAGATTAAATTATAGTATGTCTTATTGTGATATTTAGGCTATGCTATTGTAAATTGTAATCGAAATTCGTTGGGTAGTTTTTGAATGGAAGTGTAACAAACATCCATACACACATGCATTGGCTTTTATATTAGTCTATTTACTAATGCTAGTATTACAAGTGGCGGCATCTGTGACCTATTAATAATTATATACTATCCTGAAAAATATTCTTATGACTGATATTTAATTATTATACTGAACCATTATAATTTTATAATGACAACATTTAAGTATCAACTTATATTTGAAAACAATAAATACTGGCTTCAGCCATTTCATAAGACATTGAAAAAAAAGCATCGGTACCTCGAACAAGAGAAACATATACTATGACAAAAAATTAATTCATAAATCATAATAAATTCAACACTATCCCTACTAATATTATAAATGCGAAAGTAACTCTGTCTGTCTGTTACGCTTTCACGCCTAAACCACTGAACTGATTTAAATGAATTTTGGTACAGAGATAGAGTTGACCTTGAGAAAGAACATAGAATATTTTTATCCCAGACTTTTGAAAGGTTCTCTTGCGAAGGAAACGCGATATAACCGAACTCCACACGAGCGAAGCTGCGGGCGGAAAGCTAGTATCTATATATTACTAATATTATTTCTTCATTACCAGAGTACATATTCGTCGCACAGACAAAGTGGGTACAGAGGCAGCCTTCCACCACATAGACGAGTACATGGTACATGTGAAGGAATACTACAGAACCTTGGAAATGACTACTCATGTGGACAAGAAGAGGGTCTATCTGGCTACGGATGACGCTAATGTTAGTAGCAATAAAGTTTAGAATTATAAATCAAAATATTTCAGTCGTAAATGTTTATATTTGTCAAAGTTCCAGCATCTTCTTCTTCTACCTGGCAATTTCCCAGCTTTAGCCAGGGTCTACCTTAGATATGAGAATAGTTTTTACGACCGGCCGCCTGCCTGACATCAACCCTCTTTTGGGAATGCATTAATCAGTTATGTCTAAGTACTCTTAAAAAGTACATATGATTCGGAAAAATCATATTGGTACTTGTCCGGGCCAGGATCGAACCTGCACTCTCGAGCATGAGAGGCGGGCCTTTTAACTACTAGGCCACCACTGACAAAGTTCCAGCTATTTGTATAAAATCGTAGGACAAATAGTTTTTTTTTTAACTCTTAACCGTTTAGATTACACGTGGTTATAATGTAGATTCTATGTTGATATATTTTTATTTTGATTTACTTACATTTACATAATTTTAGTTTTCAATACAGTTTGTAATTGTATTCTCAGAAATTGCTAGGTCCTCATTGTAGGTGTATAAATATTATTTTAAAACATAACTTAATATTACACCCTGTATATTTCCAGGTATTGCAAGACGCGAGGAACAAATACAAGGAGTACGAATTCCTTGGGGATCCTTCTATAGCGAAGACAGCGGCCACTCATCGTAGATATACGCCTTTATCACTCACCGGCCTATTAGTAGATTTACATATGCTAGCCATGTGTGACTATATAGTGTGCACATTTAGTAGTCAGGTGGGTTTGAACTAAATAATTAAATTATTCATAATAAATTCAATGATATTTTACTTTATTGACCATCCTGTATCTTATATAGTATAAGATATTATTAATTTTTATAAATAATTTATGACTCAAACAAAATCATTAAAAATATAGTTTTCTTATAAAGCCGGTACTTTAAAATAATATATCAATCCTTCACTAGAACAAACTAATTATTATCTTATATCAAAACACTTTAAATAAGTTTAATTTAATCTTCAAATACATAAGCAGTGTCAACAAAATACTGTCCCGCGTAAAAGTAAACAAATCAAATGTCATCGCTTTAAATTCACTTCGGGTGCGTTCGGGTATCGAAAGGTTCGATTCAAATTAAATGTGTGTTCCGTAAATATATATACTATATCACAGTTAGACAATAAAAATCCAAAAAAATAATAATATTATAATAATTCTAGAAGACCCGGCGAACTTCAAATCTAATGTGATGTCAAAAAAAAACCGTTTGTATCAACAACTACTAATAAATTAAAAATTAATTAAAAAAACATTGTCCAGCGGACAAAATTGTGAATCTAAACCATTCCTAGATCCCCTTGAACACACACAAAAAATTACATCAAAATCGGTCCAGTCGTTTGAGAGAAGTTCAGTGAAATACACACTCACAGAAGAATTATATATATAAAGATAAATAATATATTATTTTCCAATATTTCTATATAAAGGTGGGTCGCGTAGCTTACGAGATGATGCAGGCCAATCGACCTGATGCATCAGATAGTTTCCACTCGCTGGACGACATATACTACTTCGGCGGACAGAACGCTCACGACAGGAGGGCGCTCATGAATCACGAGGCTGGGGGGCAGGAGATAAGCTTTCAGGTAATATACATATATGATATGACTATACAGGGTGACTGGTGAATTACTATCGATATTTGAGGACGTGATATTTGACGATCATATATGACAAAATAAAAATTAATATAACATAAATATTAATAAACTTCTAAGTAAAGTTAACCAATAGTTATGTAATTAATTACGCATCGTATGAACACCCTACAGATTAGGTATACACACACACACACACTCGCGCGCGGCGGCGTGTTGTTGTATCAGCACGCCGCCGCACGCCGCGCACACTTGGAACACTTGGAACGTGTACACACTTTATTTATTTATACGGAAATTTGGTCAAAAATTAAGTGCCTATTTTTTTTACATAATTCGAATGAGAATCTTGTACGGAGTATGCTCCTTAAATATTGTTAGTAATTCACCAGTCACCCTGTATAGTCGAGTTGAGATATAGACAGATATAATTAGTTAATGAGGAATTAGACGCTGTTTATTAAATGTTACACTTCAATATTGTAGTAAGACTGCAGGCAGTCAAGATACAGCAATAATATTCTAACATCAGATTTAAACAAAAGATAGCAGTTAGGTAGGAATGTAGGTGGTGATTGAAAAAATGTAGTAAAATAGAAAGTATACTATGAGTTTGATGTAAAAAAAATAACTATATGCTTAACATAATAATTGAAGTAAGGACGCGCCTTTCACTATTGCCCTACTTGTATGTCGGTTGTGTTAACATGCGGTAGCTGGATGAAAAATTCAATAATGTAACTTTTTGTGAACAGTAACAAAATTCTGTAATATTATTCAATTTTAGGATTTTAAATTAACTAGTGCAACTTGATGTATTTAAATACTCTTTCAAATTGTTTGTTATGTGATGTCTATGACCACATACATGACTACAATATTTATGATAAGTAAAAAATTAGCAAATATGACACTGGAAAAATACCCCTAATAATGTATACATTAAGATCAATTTCACATTAACAAAAAACAAACTGGTCTTATTGTTTTTATTATTCAGGCTGGTGACTTGATCGGTATCGCCGGCAACCATTGGAACGGCTTCGGTAGGGGGACAAACAAACGGACTAATTTGGTGAGTAGAATACGAGTATCATATATATTACGTTATGTGTATAAAAGAAAATTGTATTAACATTTTCTGTTCGATCGAAAAAGAAAAATAACTTAATAAAGACCAAAATCTGGTTATTTATAGCCTCTAAAGCGGTATAGAGTTTGCCCGTCAGCTATACATATATTATTAATTCGAAGTCGCGTGCAAAAACTAGTATTACATATCGTTGGGGATAGTGCAAAACCGTTAACTAGCATTGGATAAATCTGCGTATCTATATTGGAAGCAGATTAATAGAAGAAAGTTTAAGCTGAAATATTTTCTAAATTAACTTTTAATGAAATTTTTCAAACTAGTAATAAATTTAACACTAAATAATTGCCCTTTTTGTTTCAGAACGGCCTCATACCATGGTATAAGACAGCGGACCACCTCGTCCTGTATCCATTCCCCGAATACAAACACATACAAACGGACACGCGACAGAAAGACTTATAATATAAAACACACGCAATATGAAACCTTCACTAGTTGTAATAGAGTTGATTTTTGAAAGCGCTAGTTTGTTAGAAGTGAATATCAGTTTGTACCGCACAGCTTAAATCTTATTGTGTTCGTAATAGAGTTTAAAATTGCATTTAGCTTTAAAATGTGATAATTAGTGCCAACACTCGGTACTGGAGATTATAATGGCCTTGATATGTACGAACGGTCCCGGTTCGTGTATTAATTAGAGAATTTATTATTCAATAAAACTATGATTTCTCTCAAAATATATACAAAATATGAAATACAAGTAAAGTATGTATAGGAATTTCTCAAAATTTTATATTGTTTTAAGTTTTTTTTAAATGTCACGTGTTTTAGTGTATGAAATAAAACTAGTTGAAATTGTATTAGATCACACGAAGAGTTATTTGTTATGACTTCATCAAACATACATTCACATAACTCCCTTTTATGTCGCAGTCGGGTAATATCCCAATTCCTGTGCCATCATTATATCACATTATTTTCTATATGTTCCAAACTTCTACATTCCTATTTCTTTTATTTACATCACTTATTTAATTAATTCTGTGTTGCTATATAAGAAAATCTATTTAACTTTATGGAAAAAAATGGTGACCAATTTGAATGAAATTAGATTATTTTTATTTACTACTCAGTTATAATATGTATCTGAATTGTTTTTAATATGTGAATACTCGAATGAAATTTTGTTTTGACCATCTTATGATACTAATATGTATGATAATTAAAAAAAGGTTTTATATAGTTTATTATTTATATTTTTTTTAATATAAGGGTGAGGTCACACGTCTCAGTGGTTATTTAACTTTATGTACGGGTTTAAAATATGGGTATGTCTTGACCCTTATTTTAGCAATGGGTATTTACTAATGGTAAATTATTCCCATACGATCTGATATTAAAATAGATTTTTTTTTTGGGATTTTTGTCACAAATATTAAACTATAGTGGATTTGTTGTTGTTTTTTTTTATAATTAGATAGTTTGTTTTAAGTATAGTAACTATTCTATAATTATTTTAATGTCTTGAATGTTTATATATATTTTTAATTGTAATTATGATTGAACCTCGTATTTTTTTTGTTATCAAACACGAATTAATTGGGTTGGATTAATCGCAATAATTTTTAATTTTAATAATCAAAAAACTAAATTCCATTATACACCATTATATACAAAATATAAATTGTACTCGTTCTTGTCTATGTATTTTTGTATTAGTACAGTAAGCGACACAGATATTCTCAAAATATTAAAAAAATATCAATAAACCTCCTGACGAAAAGATCATTGTCGCTGGCTGTAAATGTTACTATAAGGCTGAGAGTGCACTATATAATTTTTTTGTGTCTAAATATTTTTTATGTATGAAAATAATACAAACCAGTTACTTTTAAACTATTAATAACATTTTAATTTCTGTTATACTGTCTTGTACTCTCGCCCTTGGTCTAACGTCAATACATGTTTGTATTCAACGCTTCGAATTATATAATAACTTTATCATGGACCTAAATCATGTGTATATAGCTTTAGTGTACAGAAAAGAAAGTAATATAACTTTAAATAAAACTTTTAAATATGTATCGTATTTTATTTGGCACTCCGCCAATACCTTTAAAATATTATAACTTAAAAAAATATTATCAAGTAAATTAATTAATTCATTATTTTTCTATTCATGGCAAGATAAAAAATTGACAATCAGATTTCATTGTGACATGTCAATAAAACAAAGATTGATGTCGTCATCATCAGCCTTTCAGAGCCCACTGCTGTAAGGCCTCTTCTCACATGGAGAAGGTTTGAGCAATAATCACCACGCTTGCTCAAGACGGGTTGGTGATTTCAAACTTATAATTTGAAATTTTAAGTCCAGGTTTCCTCACGATGTTTTCCTTCACCGTCAGATTGATGTAATTAAAGCTAAAAGGGTCTCAGTGAAAGAGACATCGTTACATCACAGAATGCTTTATGGAGTGTATATATTAATACGTAGTACATATATGGTGTTCATTATTAAACATTCTCTACACGAATGTATTATGAAACCCTTGTTAAATAGTTCTTTAAATGACTAATAACTTTCACTATCTGCCTTAATTGGAATGTATGTTCATATGTATTTATTTTAGCGACAATAATTCTAACAATTAGATTCAGGGATGGTAAATTTTTGGGACAATATTTATTTTAATTTAAAAGATTTAAATCAAGTTTAAGTCATCACTGTTTTATGCCATATGTTGTATATTTCTATCTTACGATTTTTTTTGACATTGGAGAAGCGAACGATCACTTTTTTCGACTCAAAAAGAAAATCGGTGTGTGTGTTTGACTTCCATAGATAGGTTCGTAACAACTCACTAAACGACTCACTCACTTATCTCATAAGTAGGTAGATTACCAGGATTTCGCTTACATATTCGACCGTGATACTCTGTTGGAATATCCCAACCCTCAAATAAGGGTGTTCCGAGTACCATAGGCCTATGTGGGGCGAAACGGTTAACCAAAACTTATTTTCGTCCGGGCTTTACTAACTAGGATTTTTTTATGTTAATGGGGGCGACCGAGCAGACGGCCTACCTGAATGAGGTAGTACCTTCGCCCATGCACATCCATGTGTTGGATGTGTGATATATTGGGGAATAGTTATGAAAGGGAGGGAAATGGAAAAGAGTTGGAAAAGGGAAAGGGCAATCGGCTCTCTCACTCAGCAAATGCAGCCATTTAAGATTACTTCACGCCGATCTTCTGTGAGAGGTTGGTACTTTCCCGGTCGAGTCAGCCCATGTAGGAGCTGCAGTAACTTGATCACAGCTAGGCCTTACAACCTCAAAAGTAGTAACCAGGTATTGAAGATGCGAGCATAGTTCCGCACTTTGCACAGATACAATATCGTAACTAGTAACTAATAACCAACCCGTTTTGAGCAAGCGTGGTGATTAATGCTCAAAGCTTCTCCATGTGAGAAACAGGCCTTGCTTAGCAGTGGGCGCTGATAGACTGATGATAATATCGTAACTAGTTGTAAGCTACATTCACAGACTTCCGTGGATACGTTACCTCTCAAAGGAATCAAAAAGGCTTTTAAAAAAGATTTTCAAAGACTTTCTTGAATGTGATTACCTCTTACTACGCATGTTTCTATATTACGCTTAGTATAAGTCAGTAACAGTTATTCTTTTAGTTAATAACCGTTATCCTTTAAGTGTATGGATATATTTGATGGACATAAACGAAATGCGTTGAAATTCACAGTTTAGGGATACCATTGAAATATATTTAGTACACTGATGAAAGTATTCGTTAACGAAGATAATTTACTATTTAACTTAATAGATGTATCTATTAAGTTCTGGTCACACTAGGTATGGTTTATAAACTATCATTCATGATGATCGGAAAAGAATTTATAAATACAAATATATTTAATTTGCATTTTTTATGTACCATAAATATTTTATACTGCTTGCAAAAAAACCTTTCATTCGAAACAGAGTAACGTGTATAAAATGAACTTTTTACATAAAAATAAAAGGCAAAATGACCGGTATAAATAATAGTATAACATATGTACTGTGTATAAAAAAATATTAAAGAGATCAAACTAATATTTGTAACAAGTAAAACGTGAATGTTCTCTTTACACAAACAATTACTTCTCATTTACGATCCGTTCACCCGGTTTTCAAAACTGTATCTCGATGCAGTCACCGTTTACCTTCTGTTATGAGGCCAAGAGTTATTTTGAAGAAATCTTTAATGACTTTATAATATTTTCCTCATTATATGTAAATATCTCTAAAGTAACTGAGAAATGTAATTCGATACATATAACAGTTAGACCCGATTTTTTTTTCATTAATAATTTTGATAATAATTTTTATGATATTTTAATACGTCGCTATTTGGTGTTTTTTATACCGTTTCCTTATGTTTTATTTGTATTGGATGTGTGTATAATATGATATTGTTCTGCGGTTTTTCCTAACAGAAAGTTCCGTGGGTTGATTCTGTGAAAGTTGCTTCTTGGTCAAGTTCAATAACATCGGTAACAGTATCACTGCCACGGCCAAGCGCACCGCGCGTCTTTTATCATCTATATTTTAAACTTTATATAATGGTTTGATGTTATTAGTGCAAATATGAAGAATTTGATTTTTATTCTCGTCGTATGCTGTGTCACGCCATTAGTGTTGCCAGCTAAATACATTCTGCCGAAATGGAAGAAACAGGTACTTTATTTGTTTAGTTATGGTTTTAAATGTTTTGCACTTAAATGTTGCATGTTCCTCTTGCATGTGATGGTCAATGTTTAATTGATTGTTTGTTTTAACTTTTTCTTCTTATAAGTAATAAAAATAAATTAAAATTATTTTTAAGGTAATTTATATAAAAAAAAAAATTTTTCTTAAAAATTCAATACGGTCGACAACATATTGTTTTAGTGATTTATACAGTAATTGTTAAGAAACTAACTTTCTAACAGATATAAAATCCAGTTGTTTTCCAAAAGTATTTAATTATTGAGTTTTAACTTCTTTGACAAAAAATATGTCTATCTGTTATTCTAGCCTTTTCTTTATATAAAAAATCAACTTACCGGTTAAATAGTTATTCCATTACACTTATAAATTCATTTATTATAAATTAATTATAGTTGTATATTGAAGTATAAATTTAAAAAATCGCGATCTGCTCTATTAAATTTAAAGTAACATCGTATTATTAAAAAGCCATAATATATTCCATTTTAAAAGACTTAAATCTAATTTGTATATATTTTTTCAAGTTTCAAGTAAAAACCCCATCTATACGTATTTCCATATATTTGGTAATCGATATGCTAATTCAGCTCATTTTAATTGTAAGTAAGGAAACGCTCGAAATGGCAGTTTAAATTACCAAAGACCACGTTTCCTCTGGACATGTTAATGAGGATTCGGTTTCTATATATATCCTGTTACCGCTTTTGGTTTTCTGTGAAAAAAATGAAGTGGCACGTATTAATTATCTGTGAAATGTATTTAATCAAATTTAAATGATTACGGACCACACACGTACATATATGATATATGTAGTAAGATTTACATTTTAGTTTATTAAATAGTTTTTGTTATGTATATGTACTTTGGAATAATAATAAGTTCACACATAAAGCATATAGAAGTACGTTTATGATTTAAAACTTTTTTTTATATAAAACTTTTTTGAAATCGTTTTAAACGCCGTAAATGGTCATTCAGAGCCATTAAATAGAATAAACAAAATACTCTATGGATGAACTATACGTAAGTAAAATATTTAAAATTTAGAATTATGGGAGCTTTTGAATGACTATTTTTAACAGGCTTTGAGAATATAAGCTTCAATTAATTTTAGGAATAATAATATGTACAATTATATGGTAATATTAAATTTGGTATCGACATTTGCAGAATATTTCACAATTTCAGTGTGAATAAAGCAATAGCATAGAAAAAAAGGTATCGTCTGTTGAATAACAGAATATTCTTTTTTTTTAATATTTTTTACAAGCATAAGTTTAATAATATAATTTCCAATAGAAACATATTTTAAGCTGAGTTTCTCTGTGCGGCATACTTTCTCGCGGCTTTCTCTCATATTAGAAAGTACCTTCACGACATCCTGACGGGTCCGTAGGATTTATATTAATTACCGTTCTGTATGCTTAGTCCGAGTTTCATCATCACACTACTTACGAGACGTTTACCGTTTTTCATTCAATAAGCTACCTTTATACTATAATGTACGAATGTTTATGAATGAGAAACTTGATGATGCAAACTTAAGTAAGCTTAGTTTTCAATGAATCAGCGCCATCTATTGGAAATGAAAAGAATTAATCTAATGAGGGCAATGTATTGTGACATTTCTTAGAGACGTTTATTTTAAACTACATATGTAGGTGAAAAGATGACGTCGAAGCTTTTATTTTTAATACTTAGGCTTGAATATTGTTTAGCTACATGGAAAAAAAATTGTTTATTGTTATTCAATCTCTTATTTATTTTGATATTTCTTTAAAAATAATTCAAATAATATTTACGAATCAGGGTATAATACGATTTTGTAAACGCGTTTTTCCTACATTGAAGAGTTTATTATAATCTGCCTTACCATATAAGTAGTTTTATTTATTTTTTACATTTCACAACGGAAAAAATTACTTCAATATTGTATACATATATGTATATATGTTCCAAAAAATATGCATCTAACAACACGATACACACAACTCATATATACAATATACTGGTTAATTAATGTTAAAACAAACATTTAATCATTTTACAATAAACTTGTCTATCTCGCGTCGTAATTGATAAAAATAATTCCATGAATTAATATATAATTTATTCGGAACTTTCATTTCAATTACTCTATAATTCACTAGTAATGTTCACGATTATGTTAATTATACTTATTACGTATAATTAGACTTAAGATTCCAAGTTATCGTGTGATATAAATGTATGACTACGACTATGTGTTATGTCATAAAGAGGTCTTATTAAAATGTACCAGCTAGTTAGATCCTGCTAGTGTTGTGAAAGGGAGTAGAAATTTTAACATCCCGCATAAAATATATATGTATGTATTTTATAGTTTTGTATGTACGTTATTCGAGTACTATGTAATAATTGGGTTAATACAACTGTATTAGTATAGTAGTATGAAGTTGCGATATATGTCTTGTTTTCATTATCTATCTAGCTTTTGTCCTCGACTCCGCCTGTGAGGAGATAATTATCATAATAAGAAACATTCTATGTCTTCATAACTTCATCTACCCAATCCCATACTAACTGTTGATAAAATCGGTTCATCCCCTAAAAATGGATTGCAATATTTTCCATATTGGATAATATCGATAAGTCCTCTCTAGATTTTTTTAATTTTATGATGTATTGCAATATTTATCGTTCCTGCAATATTTATTATGAAATATTTTGACTCATATTAGTTATACTTGTATGAACTTGACTCTTAACTAATCATCAATGAATACTATTGCTATCATTACGAGTAAAACTATCAACTCATTTTACTATAAGAATTCTAAAGAAACACTAACTTTATATCATCTAATGATACAAAAATATTTATAATTGTTATTGTAAATGTACCCACCAAGCACGTTTCTTAATTAATTTTAAACAAAAAACTGTTTACCCTCCTTATTTGTGAATAACACCATCCACGAATATGCATAATATGCCTAATTATGCGAACCTATTGTGTTAACATTGCACGCATGTAACAAGCACGTTAAATGCACCCCATAGCCTCTATATAAGAAGAGTGTTCAGGCGTGCGAGCTGCCGGCTGTTCAGAGTGAGCATAGTCATTACGTATGTGATGATAAGGGGGAACCGAAGTGTCTACCCGGCTGGCAAGGAGACCTCTGTGATGTACCGATATGCAAACGAGGCTGTGATCCGCTGCAAGGTGAGTTGGAATCTTCATTTAAATATATTTTCTTGAATGAAATGAACTGTTTGTATCTACATTTAAACCTATTTCTTTGCATGAAATGATATGTTTGTATCTTCATTTAAACCTATTTCCTTGAATGAAATGAACTGTTTGTATCTTCATTTAAACATGTTGCCTTGAATGAAATTAAATGTTTGAATATTCATTTAAACTTATTTCCTTTACTGAAATGAATTGTTTGTATCTTCATTTAAACCTATTTCCTAAGTTGTTAAAGCTTCGTTTATACTTTGGTATGTATAAGGATATGAAACGCAGCTAGTCTAAATTCTTTCAATTATTTATGTTGTTTTAATTGATAATATCATTGGAATAACAATATAAGAAATATATTTTTTGTAAGGAAATAGAGAGGGCTATATCGTTTTCATAATTTTCAGGTTATTGCAAGCGTCCTGGCGAATGTAGATGCAAGCTAGGTTTTTACGGAGAGCGATGTAACAAATGCATACCGCTGCCAGGATGTCAGCATGGCTACTGTAATGTATCCTTCGAGTGCATATGCAGAGAAGGATGGGACGGCATATTCTGTTCAGAACGTAAATATATAAAACATATTAATTTGTTGCTATTATATTTCAACAGGCGTTAGAAGATTAATGATCATGTATTAATGTAAAATCGTTTGGATGCTTTTATTTTCGATAGTTTCTTTTTGAGTATTCAGTTTCTGAGTAATTTATTTAATGTTTATATAAAACAATGTTTTTAGCTATGTGTCGTTCTGATTGTCACGCTACCCGCGGTTTCTGTGAGACACCTGGTGAGTGTCGTTGTAGACTCGGCTGGGCCGGACCAACTTGTAGAGCTTGTCAACCATTACCCGGCTGTCAGCATGGCTATTGTGACAAACCACTGGAGTGTAAATGCTTACCGGGATATACGGGACTATTGTGTCAAACACGTAAGTATACTAATGAGATCTAGTTGTAAGAAAGTATCTATTTAAAAGAAGAAAGTATTCATTTAAATGAAACTAATATTTTCGGATTATACTACGCGTATTTTATTATTTTAACAAACTACATACTCCCGAGTAGACGAGATGTGTTCCAGTGATCACAGTTGCTGAAAAGTAACTGAAATATTGGGAGTATGTAGTTTTTACAATAATAAAATATGCATATTATTTAAAGATTATCTTTTATTTAACTATAATTTTATAGTTTAACAAAATACTAATAAATAACTATACTACGTACATTATATTAACATGGCGTTTATTTCTCTCGTTTTCTAGAGAAAAATTGTAATAACAAAATTAGTATTTCAATAAATATGGTTTCTTATACGCAAACAACTTAAAACCTTATTATGTTAGATTTGGAAATGATTTTTTCATTCTTATTTCCTTTAAAAATCTAACGTTAATTAAATAAATATTAAGTACAAATAAGTAGGGTTGTCAATTTAACACACTTACCTAAAATCAATATAATGAAACTTTAAAACATATTAGGGTTGTCAATATAAATTTAATAAGTTTAACCTTATTTTAACCAGCGATTTGCGCTCCGGGATGCCACGGAGAAAGAGGGTATTGTCGTCGCCCTGGTGAATGCCGCTGCAAGGTCGGTTGGACCGGGAAGAATTGCTCCCAGTGTCACAAGTACCCGGGCTGTGTCCACGGAACATGTAGCAGACCCTGGGAATGTATTTGCGAGAAAGGATGGGGAGGAATGCTTTGTGATGAAGGTAAATCTGGTAGAGAATTGTGTTTGAACATTTTAATGAGCTATATTTACTACTGGAAGTTTATATTAAGAATTTTTGGGAGTTATTGTATAAAATATATTAGGCTATATTCATGATAAATATTTGTTATTATAATTTCGTAAGTTTAATGGAAATTAAATTCGGAAATAGTGTACTTACTGAACGATATACAGACGTTTGTAGACAATAATATTGATCAAGTTAAATGTAAAAAATGCTAAATTAAGCATTTGTAAGATGAGAATTATTTTCTAGTTTTAAAGATTGAAGGCGGCATTATATATCATATATTATTTATTAAAATAACAAATAAGATGGATATCAAAGAAAAAGTTCTAATATTCGTGATCTATATCAAACTGAGTCTGCTAATGTCTATTATCAATAATTTTTTATTAATAATGTTATATTTATTTCCTGACTTACTGTTACTTTTGAAGTTTGAAACTATTTATTATTAACGAATTTTTATTTATTATCAGAGTTGAACTATTGCGAGAAGAATCCCGATACTTGCAAGAACGGCGGGAAATGTCAGTCTTTGGAAACCGGTGATGGATCGTACAGGTGTCATTGTCAAGAAGGCATTAGCGGGAAGCATTGCGAAATCCTGCCAGAATCGATGATCACGTCAAATAACACAGAAGTCATAGATACTGATGAAGTTACAGAAAAACCTGAATTAATATCCGTAGAAGAAACTACGACTACTAAAATAGAAGAAGATCTTAGTGATGACAATGAGACTGAATGATATTCATATCAAACGTATATTGTGATAGATTATAGTAATTTATTTAATTCATCATTTCATAATCACCATCTCATCATCTTTCATTAATTTATTAAGTATTCATCATCATTATCAAATAGTTTTTATTCATTCAAGTGTCGAGCAATAAATGAAATTGTTACGTCACAATTGTGAATTAAAATATAATATTTAAAAGTATTTATAAGCATTTAAATGTAATTATTTATTCTAGAATATAAGATGATTAAATTATAAAATTTAAAAGCATTCGTTTCTTTTAATATGAATTACATCCCGTTTCAAGTATAAGTGTTTTAAAATTTCGCCAATAAATAAAAGTGGTAATGAATTTGCATTTGATCTCCAGTGAAGATAAAATTGTACTTACACAAAAAGTATATTCTATATATCTTTATAAGATATTGTCTAATTTATTGCTATTTGAATCTTGGTTACTACTTTTGAATTATTAATGCAAAGCATTAGAAATCTTTGTATTAAATTACACATAGTTACTTCATAACAAAGTTTCAGAACCCACTGCATATTTTCAATAATTTAAATATCTTCTCATCACGAGGATATTCTTTTGATGGCGTACTTATCCTTCATCATTTGTAAATTACAGTCACAATATTCCAAACACTTTTACACAGGACATTTCTCAGATGCTTTTCATTTAAATGTATTAAAAATGACACAATATTTAGGACATCGCATATTAATTTTGAATTAATTCACACATTTCAAAACACGGGTATTTATATTTTATTGCAATAAGTGACTTAGATACTTATGCATAAAGTGCAATGTATATATTTATGCAATTTTCGAGTATGATTGCTAAGCCAACACTAGTTTGATATACTAGTAACGAAATTGTTAATTAAATTCAATCTCTTTGTAGACTATGTTTATTGGCTGTGCCCATGTTCTTATATGAGCAGTTTGGTTCCAGTTATGGGGTAGGCGATGTTAGTGTTTTGATTTAAACATTCAACTAATTCCTTACGAGCTACCACTTAATTACGATTCAGTAAAATCTATTCCTTATTTTTGAAGTTATGGATATATTTTAGCTATTAAACATATGAATCAGTTTAATTTTCTCTTTGGTATAATTAGAAGTTAGAATAAATATTTGTTTATTATAAATCAAACATCAATAGCTTATTATATTCTGTCACGTATTTATATGGCAATAATTTTGATGATTATATATTAACTGTCAATGTCAATATCATTTTTTTTGTTAATGTATTTACGGCTCTGGATACGAGGCTTTTTGAGCATGTCAATGTCATTAACGTCAGTGTTGCAAATTTTGTTTGAATTCTGCTACGTTTTTCGCACGTATGTTTTAATTGATATCAGTTATTCAGATCAGATCATCTATACATGAAGCATGGACTACATACCGTAAAAACAGTGTCCAACGACGTTTTCGGTCAAGCAAAGCCTATTCAATTAATTCACTTGCATATGTTATCTTCTTTTGGTTATAATACCATAAATGGAATCAGCTGTAATCTAATGCATGGTTCCAAGCCCGTTTGAATTTTATATCGACCAAACTTAGCGTTTAAACTTTCGAGATCCTATAGCATAATCTAGTCAGTATTGGTATTACGACACGGCCCTTCAATCTGCATTTTTTATCCATTAGAACATTTTATTTTAATCTATAACAGGTTTTTTTTTTAATGTATACGATTCCGGCCTAGAACCTTAGCTCATTATGATGCTTTGGGATTACGCAGCCTTATCTGACTAGATATGATATTTATTGATATATATCTTGTATTAGGTCATATAAGGTTTCATGTTTTGATATGTTACCTAACATAGAACGACTGCTATAAAGAATCTACAACATACTTCGTTTCTTGATTGCAGTTGGAAGATATTTTTTTAGGTTTTTTCTTAGTTATCAACAAATGTAACACGTTGTTCTGATTTTTCAAATATTTATGTTTTGTTAGAAATTCTCAAGGAAGTAGTGCTTAAATGTAATAATTTCAATATATTTTTTATGACTGTCTTTAGTTACAGTGAGATAGTTGAATGATAAATTTGAACTTTTCATTTGAAATAAGCATAGGTATAAAGATATAAAATTTGTGACAAACAATTTTGACTGTGAAATTTAAATTCAGCTTAGCTTTAAGCCTTACATTGTTTCGTAAAATCGTAAGTAATTTTAGCAACTATTATTTAATTTAATGTAAAATAATTAATATTATTATGTTACAAGAACAATCGAATCAAATTCTATATTCTTAAAATCTTTACAAAATTACAATTTTGATCTTTCCTTTCAGTATTTTGTCTCATGCAATAATAGCATAATATACTTCATTTTCCTCATTTGTAAGTTGAATATCCTATACAAAAATTAAGTTATCAATATTAAACATTTTAAATATCTCAGGAAGCTTTGAGATTTGCAACTTCAGTAAACTGGATCAGTGCAGTAAAGATGTCCAATTAAAAAAACTTACGAACTAAACTAGTCTGTATAATTTAACTAGATCGTCCATGGTGTGACATAAACTATAAATTCATAGGACATTAGTATTAAATACTTATCTATTAGGGACTAAAATCCCATGAATTGACCGCAGCCCGCCCTGCAACGATGAGATATTGAAAAGTGGTTTCGGCGTATGTTTGATGTTAGTTTTGTGCTATATAAAGACGCAGGCAAAGGATATGCAATAGACTGACAGCACATACAACGTGGAACGGTCGTATATATATACTTGTCAAAAAGTAATGTGATTTGGTGAAAATTAGGGAGCATAACTCGACAAAGATGACGGCGGCACACTTTTTCATGGTACGTATTTTTTTATTTTATTTTAATAAAATATCTAAAATAAAGTTACACATAAATATATTATATAATTTATTATTTTTTAAATTTATAGTAAAAAAATATCCAACAGATTTATCTTTTTAATTTTCTTTAATGTATTTAAGCTTTAATAAATTTTAATGGCTTGCTGTGTAACATAATTTGTATTTTGAACTCATGACTCTTAGGATGTAGGGAAACTTTTCTCCAAAAAACATAATGACTTTTTTGACCCAAAATTTTGCATAACAACTTCTCTCACTCTAGTTGTTGTAATAATAATTGGAGCCCAAGCTTGATACTCACTTCTATGTTTAACAATTAATTGTTTCTTAAATGTATCAAGTTAAATACTAATTAATGTTGTACTAAATGAAAGGGAATCAATAAAATCAATAGTTACAAAACGTTACCGAAGTAGGCCATGGTAAGCTAGAACCCCCGACAAACGATAAATAAGTGGCTAAGTAGATTTTTTCAATAAGTTTTAATTTTCAAGCAAAGATATACATACTTCAATTATTTGTTTTGATGAGTAAAAAATATATTAAAATAATTTATTTTTATTTTAAGCTTCTCTTAGTGAGGTTTATATGAAATATTACGTAACATAAACTCCTTTTGAGTCCTTGCTGTTTTTTTTTTAGTTCTGGTTCACGTCTTCCGTGACTACTAAGAGGAAATTTCAGATGTTATGTATAAACAACGGGTTGTAATAAACATAAATCAAACTAGGAACATAAAATAACCCTATTTTAACTTTAAAGCAATAAGCATCAAAAAACTTGGCCTAATTTTTATTGTTATAAAATCTTAGAGATTGAGATATTAGTTTTAACCCCAGGTGGAAAATTATAGATGTTATTAAGTTGCAATTGAACTTTCACGAGAACTTCTAGGTAGCAAATAAAAATAAGAAATGTTTGAAAAAAAATTTATTAATGACAACCAAAACGATATATTAAAGAGTTAAAACGATAGATATCTCTAAGATTCACGTTACCTTTTGTATTGAGTAAATTGATTTATTTACCTAAAAAAAATAATTTAATTTGTAGACCTATAATTCACCGCGCAATTATGTAATAAGTAATTGTTAAAAAACTCTTCCTTGTATATTTAAGACCATTTAAAAAACATGTTTGATTAATCGTTGTCGAATAAGATTTCTTCTTCAAATTTAAGATAAGAACACATTGTTTCAGACGTATTCATGTGAATCAGACAGTAAAGTATCTTTTTAATAATTAATGCATAAGCAACAAATTACGCATTATTTTAAAGCTATCTACAAAAATATTTAATTAAGTTAATAATTTAAGTTAAACGGCGTTAAAGAATACTCGGATTTATGACTGTTATTGTTAATTTTAATTATAAGAATCTTTTTGTTGTATTTACATATTTCATTTAAATGAAATAAATCCAATAGTGCTACTTAATATAGCTATTCATTGCATTTTAATTATCCCTTAAAGATATTTTAACTTCGTGAAAACTTTATCCGTTGACGTAATGTAAAAGTTTTAATATTTATACAAGTTTCATAATTTCTAAGTATATATATAAGGGCCGGTGGTTTCAAAATATAAACGTCTGTACTTTAAAATACAACATACATTTCCCAACTTACCCGTTCATGTATTTACGTAATTATCTAAAAACTAGCTGATACACACACAACAAATCTAGAACATGTGTGAATGAGTCTCCATCTTCCGTAGGTGATACAATTATAATTATAGCACAGAATCTGTGATATAAACGTTTACTTTTTTCTAAGAATGTTAATTGACGTAATCTATGCCATTTAAAACATTCCTAAAAAGCAATGTACTTCTCAAATTTACGCTCTTTCTAAGTTGATATATTAGTGTTGTGTTTTAACGGTAAATTATATGGAAGTCTTATCAGAAAGCTTAGCTGGCTTTGCCTTGACCTGGCGCATATGGTAGAATATACCGCATAGACTAACACTAAGGTCGTTCGATCATAAGCCTTTGAAATATTTCTTTTAAAGATACATATTTTTACGGCCTATGTTAAATAAAAGTTATTGTTTGTAAAATTTAAAATACTATTTTAATTTCAGGTTCTGCTTGTTGCGAGCAGTTTATATGCCAAGGAAGTAGATACAAAAGCGAAGGTTTCAGAGCTCTTAGAGAATGGTATTAAAGATGCTCCCGCTGGTAAGCCTGTCAAGAGAGGAATCCTATCTTCTGGATATTCCTTAGGCCTATCCTCTGGTCTATCTCATGGAATCGGTATCGGTTCAGGAATTGGAATTGGTTCTGGAATTGGTTCCGGAATAGCCATCGGCTCTGGATACGGTTCAGGAATCGCTATCGGTTCCGGAATCGGATCTGGCGTGGCTATCGGTTCTGGAATAGGTTCAGGAGTAGGTATCGGTTCTGGAATTGGAATCGGTTCTGGAATTGGAATCGGTTCCGGAATTGGAATTGGCGGAGGAATCGGTGGCGGCGGAATCGCAGTTGGTGGTGGCGGAATCGCAGTTGGTGGTGGTGGTGTAGCAGTAGGCGCCGCCCCAGCTGTAGCTGTAGCAGCACCCGCAGTAGCTGTGGCCCCAGCTGCCGTGCAGACCTCCGTTGCCGTCGCACCTAACCCCGTCATTCTCCGTCAAGAAGTACCCAGATTTATTACGAGAACCATCACAAGAAACGTCCAAGTTCCCGTTCAGGTTCCAGTGCCTGTACCTGTCGACCGTCAAGTTCCAGTTCCCGTCAGGGTGCCAGTTCCCGTGGCTGTGGACAGACCGGTGCCAGTCATCCACAAAGTACCAGTAGAAATTACCAGACAAGTACCCGTATATTACGAGAGGAAGGTACCGGTGCCCGTAAGAGTACCAGTATCCGTTCCCGTACCGTACCCCGTCACTGTTGAGAGACAGGTCCCAGTAGACCGGCCAGTCATTATTAACAGACAAGTGCCAGTGCCGCACCCAGTATACGTTGACCGTCAAGTTAACGTGCCAGTGCCAGTACAAGTAGACAGGCCAGTGCCAGTACCCCATCCAGTCGTCGTTGATAGACCAGTAGCCGTGCCACAACCCGTAGTAGTTGATAGGCCAGTAGCTGTTTCATCGGGTGTTTCTGTGGGATCTCTGGGAGGTGGTGTAGCGTTAGGTGGTGGTGTAGGCCTAGGAGGTGGTGTAGCTCTAGGAGGCGGTGTAGGTCTAGGAAGCGGTGTAGCTCTTGGCAGCGGTATAGGTTTAGGCAGTGGCATTTCATACGGCAGCGGCGGTGGCATTGCTTACGGAAGCGGCGCTGGTCTGTCTTTAGGAAGCGGCATTTCTCTTGGACACGGAAGTCTTTCGCTCGGTGGAGGTAGCTTATACAGCGGAGGACTTTCATACGGCCACGGTTATTCGTCCGGAATCGTATCCAGCATCGGCCATTCTGGCCTCTCCGGCGGATACTCGAAAATCATCAGTAGCCACTAAGATGACTGTCAGTACATTAATGTACAATGGATATCAAAGATGAAATAAAATCCTTGAAAATATAGTAATTGTTTTTTAATGTATATCTATTAAAGTCTCAAACACACAATACTATATAATAGATATTATTTATATGTGAAAAATACATAATTATTTATTTAATAGTAAGCAAATAGTTCGGCACTTATATTTATATTCGCTATATTTATATCAGATAAAGTTATATAAAATTAATACTTCAAATCATTATATTTTTTTATACTTATTTAAGAGGGACGGTTATTTTTACTTCTTTATTGTCTTTGTTTATAATAAAGTTTTGTTTCTTGACGGTTGAGTCTTATTTTCGTACTAATATTTTTTATTCGTACCAATTATTATATAAAACTACTGTTTAGTATATTGCTCGAAAATGTAGTCAAACTACCAAGTGTTCTCCAGTCAGTAATTGGGACATATTGTTTAATAGATAATACATCTTTTTCTTGGGTTCATCGGTGAATCGGGAGGGCATTTCCATATTCTTGAGAAATCAGCATTGTTCTGTAGAGCACCTCGTGCCCGGAAATGTTGAGGAGAGTGTTCGTCTGATAGACCTGACTTCAAGGAATCCTTGGTAGATACTTCACACCATAACTGGTGACAAAATTCAATTACTATTAATATTTTTTGTGAGTAGTCCAATTTGCATTACTTTTTAAATTCTTTACATTCGAATTAAAAGTATGCTACACACATTTTAAATGTAAAAACCACCTTGAAAAATACTTTAAAATTTTGAAGGAAAATAATATATAATTTGTAATTGTCGTAACAGGAACATAAATTTTCACAAGTTTTTTTTTTATTTCTTCACAGTATTTTTTTTTATTTCTTCAAAAGATAAAATAAAAACACGCAATTACTTTATGGTAAGTACTTAAAGAGGTATTAACGTACATTTCCATATGAAATAAAAAATAATTGTTCTGGACTGAATTCTTCAAATCCAGGTAGTTTTGGTTCCGGGCCATACTTTCGTAAATGTTCTCTTAGAGCTCCAAAAGACTCCCTAACACCACCATTGTCAGCTATATTCTCTCCTAAAGTTTTTTTGCCATCTACCTAAAACATATTTGGACAGAAAAATCAACAATACTTGACAAAAATATATCAATTTAGGACTAATATTTTCATACATACATGTTCTCCAAGTTCAGGAACATAAAAATTTGAGTACTGGTCTACGAAGCATTGTGTCATATTGACGAATGATTCAATGGTGTCGTTTGACCACCACGGTAGCAAGTTACCGTTCTTGTCGAAACGTCTACCTGTAGGCATTAAAATAATATAATAACCATAATAATAACATCACATATAATAATATTTCTTACCAAAATCATCAAAACCGTGTGTTATTTCATGTCCAAGTACACTGCCTAACGCGCCGTAATTTAGTGAACTGAAATGGAGTTACTTTAAAAGATAGGTTTAAAGGGTTTATATACAATTATAAATTAGTTGAAATGTATCACTATTTATATAGTTAAAGTCTTTTGAGTTTATTTAGTGAAATGTACAGTACATACTCAAGTCCCAAATCGAAGAATGGATACTGTAACATCACTAAAGGCACGGCTGCGTCCAGAATTCAAAGAACTTAATAAATTAAGTATAATAAATTTCAAATTTTGATCGATTTTAATAATTCGAAGAGGTTGACTGGGAATAAAATTAAGTTTTTCTTTAAGTAACAATCTTTAAGCTTTTAATAAGGTGTACAGAAAATATGTATTTCTTACTAAGATTTAGTAGGTGACACTCAATACTTATTTAAAAATAGGTATTGTATTGGAGCCCAAGGAATAGAGCAAGTTAATGAATCGCTTACTCACTTATAGTATTTTCTTGAAAAGTATGATAAGCATTTACTTCTGTAGGGTCGGTAGCCCATGCGAATTCGTTGCCAGTGCGAAATTTATTAAGGGCTTTCCTTATTTTCACTTGTATTATATTAATCATATTTTCTAAATGCGTTTTAGGGTTAACTTCGATTCCGTCGTAATATTTCTCTAGTGAATCCACTTGTAGTAACCAGTCAGGAAAGCCGACGAACGATTTCATATCTATGATCTTCTGATAGGTCGCTAATTTTGTGTTATCATCCATCCATTTGGCTTTACCAACAAGTCTGGCAAGTGCGTTTTTCATTTCATATAGCATAACTTCAATCTAAAAAACAATAAACATATCTTAGGAAAGTCATTTAAACTATTGCAGTAATGATAACATAAATATTAAAACCTTTGGCTTGGTGTCGCTAAAGAAGTGGGCGTCGGCTATAGCGTATGAAACAGCCATGCCCATCATATCATTAACGGCGCTAGCACACTGAAGGCTACGTGGTGTGATCGACAATTCTCTTGATCTCAAAGCGTCATATGATCTCTGGAATAATAGTCTTAATTCCGAAGTCGTATGAACTGCCATAACTTCAACTACCTTCAAAGAAAGAAGACATCAATTTTATAAGTTAAGTAAATAAATTAAAATATAATAAATATTTAAACCAACCTTTATCCAAATGAAGAGTTCAATTGATACTGGAGAAGCTTTAGATATGTAGGCAGCCATGAGTGACATGTATTTTAAATCAGGATCGGAAACTAGAATTAAATCTTTTTTAAAATCTAATTCGACATTGCTTATTTTAAAAATACCCTCGAGGTATTCTTTCCAAATGTCCATTTTAATGCCGTCATTATCTTGAACTATCATATCTGTGTGTTCTTGAATTTCTTCTACTGTGTATTCAGGTATATTTATATAAATTTCATCATCACTCGTCGTAACATTGACATCGTCTTCTAGCTGAAAAATAATGACTATAAGTTCTTTTTCATTTTCCTACAATCTTTTTAAACTTATTTTAATGTCTGTAAATATTCTTAGATCCAAACTCACGTCGTACATATCTTCATTCATGTTATAATATTCATTGGCAGTCAGAAATATGTTTTGGTCTAATTCCACTTCAGTCAAACTAAAATTCTTAGCCGTCGCTTCAAGTACAAACAGTTTCATCATTTCTGCGTAAAATAATTTATATATATGTGCAATCTTCTCTTCATCATCATTATTGTTATCTACATTCTTCTTTTTGTATTTATCGCCTATTATAAATGGAGTATTTTTATGTTTTTCTTTTTTCCTCGCCAAAATACTTTTACGTCCTACATGACGTTTCTTTTCAATGAGAAAACTGTAATAAATATTAATTGTATAAGTAAACCTTTATTATTTGAAAGGAAAATAACTATCTTTTATACCTTGGAAAAGGATTTGTTGTTTCGGGTGATCCCATAACAAGTCTGTAAATCGAAGAGTTTTTTGGATCAGTGAAGATATCAAATCCAATGAGTACATCCATTCCTAGTTGCGTTTTAATTTTTATGACAGCTTCTAGCCAATTAAATTTGTAGTCGGAATAATCGATGTCATCAGTTACATTAATAACTGTTGGATAAGCGGGTAGTCCTAAAGATTCTAATATTTTTATCACAGGTTTTAGTCCCCTCTTATCTAATTCTTCTGCAAATGATTTTAAAGCTCTGTTAAATGTACTGAGTAATACAATTTAGTCGTAATGAGATTTAGTTTAAATGCTAATTGATATTTCAACATCATATTTACCTGTATCCATACAAGCACTGTATATATCCTTAGCCTGCTTTACCGGTTTCGGTTCGTTGGTGACATTCTTGGAGAGGAAGTCTCGTATAGTGGCAAATACTTTCATCTGCTTGTCATTGAACCAATCATATGAACTATAAGCATCTGGCCTGGGATGTTCTTTAGGCCAATTGCCGCATACGTACTAAAATGTAGAATTCTTTTTATTTAATACTATCCACTTGATGAACTCTTGAAAGAGCTAAAATCTTGAACGTCGAGATTAATGGTATAGTTAAAACTAGGTCATAGGAGGGAATTAAAAAGATGGTTGTGATATATATCACGTATTTTGTACTGTAAATATTTCTTACTTGATAAAAATCATTGCAAGGATCCACTGACTTATCCATTGATAGCGCGAGGTTAGCAGCTGATCTTAAACATTGTTTGCTTTCGCATATACGTATAGGTTTACTTCGTTTTTGTTTAACATCTAAAAATAAAGTTTTTCTGATTTTTTAGGTTATAGGATTGTCCTAAGTAAGTATTTCGATAGAGTTAATTGTATAACAATGTCATATTCTTTGACGTCATATTTTTATCTACGTTAAATGTTTTATAATGTCCAAATTTACATTACAATAATTTCCTCATACAATATGAGGATTAAAATTTAAAATTTCAGTATAGTATTACTGCATTTTTATCATACATGTGATCTTATTACAACAAAGGTCGAAATTTATGGTCTTAATATTACAACGGCTTACAGTCACGGTTAAATACATCGTTAACACTATTTTAGAAGTATTTTGCAAATACTTACATAAGACTGTCATCGTGACAGCTAAACACAATAAAATAAGGAGTAATAGTAATAAAATGAGAAGCATCATCTTATTTTTATGTTTCCTTCTGAATCTGAAATAAAAAATACCGTGAACATGTCTTATTTTAATGTATTTTTTTATTTTAATCAAACTACCTAGCTGTTCTTGAGCCAACGGCGATAAGATATCCCGATTCTCGCATATCATTACCATTTTTTAATGGTGGTGTAGTGGACTTCGCACTGCAAGCACCTACGAATTAAAATTTAAATAGAAAGCTTTCAAAATCGATTCCTCTTTATGTTAGCATTGTCTTTATTTATAAGAATCAATGAGGTAAAAATGTTAAGATATTATATGTAATACTTCTGAAGATAAATCGTAATGTCGATAAATAGGATTATTTTTAATGAAATTGTTTGTAATAGTCGTAGATCTCAAATTTTTCCGTAGTTTCATACGTTATTGTTTAAAACATATTCGTATAATTATAATCAGTATTGAGATCTACCCTATTATAAATAAAGAAAAAGGTAGGAAAATGGAAAACGTGCAGAAAATAAAATTAACTTTTTTTCTAAACTATTACGATGTACATAGTGGAATAACATATTTCCGTGACTTAGTCTTTAAGTTTTAAATCAATACTAGAGATTTATTTTAATCTGAATACATAAAGTGTGCTGTCGAATAAATCCACTATCACTTATGTATTTTAAGCGCAGTTCAAACAAAAGTTTGACAAATGTAAAGATTAGTAAAAACTAATATTTACATTAGTCATAAAACGATTAGAAAGAATTTTGAATAAATGCACTATTAATAAAATATATCGTTAATCAATTGTTAGCTTAATGAAATTTTACTCATGAATATTTTTAATTTTAAAAGGGTTCTTGGTTATAAGTATTATTATAATTTTCTTTTTATATACAAATATATAGCAACAAAATTACAAAAATTAAAATACGAGTACAATGGTAAACCTAAAGGGTGGACTTTTCGTCAAAAGAAAATTTTCAAACAACCTTATTGCTAGAGAACTTTTAGTGGTGTTCAATTATACATTATTTTATTTTTCAATTATATATATTTTTATCATAAACGGCTTTAATATTAAGATAATAACTACCAATATGTAATTAGATTAATTGACTGTATGTAATCGAGATTTAAGACGGTATGACCAAAATGCTTTGCCATTTATTTACGATTTTATTTTAGTTTTAATAACAAACAAATTTAATTTGACTGATATTAATCTGAATTTATTTTTAAAACTCCTTCTCTAATTAATAATTGGCTATAAATTTCATGTTTATCAGCCTTATATTTATATCTGACGTAGTTTACTAATAGTGTAAGGCCAAATACCTAAAAGCTAGTGCTATTAATTGGGCGCAGATTACAATCGCTGTCGTTAAAGTGCTAGGGTTAACTGACCTTTGTTAGGTTTTTCGATTATTTTTTTGGCATAAGGAAATTCTATAGGAAATATTCTATGATAAATGTTGTCTAGGTAATATTATATATCAATTTTTGCACTTAAAATCTTTAGATTTTTATAATAATAAATGTTATACATGATATACTAAGAAATATTAATTTGTTTACAGTTTAAGGACAGTATACGATAAGATGAGATAATATATCTAAGGCCTAATATAATTCTTTCAAAATTCTTAAAGATTTTTTCATTTTATCGACTACGTAAACCACAAAGTTGTTTTCTAAAATTATGTAGTATGAATACTTGAGGTTTTAATATAAAATATTGTGGATGATTTATCTTTATTAATTTATTTTTAACTTACGAGTAACCGTCGGACCCATAGCATCACTATTATTGCCCGACCAGGCATTCATTTTGCAACACAATTTGCAACAAGAACTTTTTTTATATTTACACAATAATCATTTTTATTACGATAAAATATGAGTGATATTCCCTCGCTTTTATATCTGATGTACTCAGTGCGTTCAGTTTCAAGGCTTTTGAGTTACTGAAAGCCTGCTGTTGTGAGCTGAAATGTGTCTACCGTGGTATTGTGACCATAATTTTCATTAAACATAACTAAATGGGAAAAAACGTTTTAATTTAAGTTGTACATAGATAAATAATGGATTTGAATTCTTTAAGTCTGAGTAATAGTTTTTTTTTATTATAAATGATAGTTTGAAGAGTCTCTTATTATCAAAAATCATGGTCAATGTCATTCCAAGTTAGGAGGACAGTGCGATGTACAACACGCGATAGTTAGTGATGTGTTACTATCGATTAAGATATTAATATTAAATTATTATCATATTGACCCTTCACTTTGACATTATTTCATTTGAAATGTTATTTCAAATAAGTTTACTATTTGACACCAATGTTCAATTTATTTCGTCAAATTTATACACCTTTTTTATCAGATAAAAAAAATATATATCAGTTTGTTCTTATAGTCTTTATAAATATTGTTATAAGATTAAAAATGATAACATTTGTTTTAACAATATTGTGTTTCTTTGTATGGTAATCAAATAAAACTTACTTCATGCGAATCCAAAGAGCTTTATAAGATAGTTCTACACGCGATAGTGATGGGATTTTTATCGATTCAACAAAACCTTTACCGTTCTAATATAAGTTTGTTTTCTTTTGATTTACATATCAGCTAACGATTTGTTGTGACATTCTGTTAAAATTTATAAAGTATTATTTACATTCAATTTATTTATGTATTTTTAGTGAAAAAAGGTTTGTTGAATACTTTTTTATTAATAATTACATTCTTGTGGATTATTTTTACATTCAAACTGGTCTAAGTTCACTCTTTTTATTCTCAGTAGGTTTTTATAACATAAAAAAATAATTATTTTGTGTACCGAGCAACATTTGTCCATAATCTTCAAATATAACAGTATTAAAGTATTTATTGCTATTAAAAGAAAGCGGGAAACGTTTTTTATGTAGTAAAACGATGGAAACTTATTGTAAGCGTGTTGAATTTACTTTGGATAAATAAAAATATTGTATAAACAGTCACAACAAATCATTGTAATAACTGTTGTAATTGTAGTTTCACCCTCTTTTAAATAATACTTTTTATAAAGGGTGAAAAGTAAGTAATAAAATATGAAAAGCATAAACAAAAGTATTTAAATACTTATTAATACGTCTCAGGTGTATGTATTGTAATACTCTTTTTAATATAAAATTTTGATTTTCTTATTAATTACTGAGATCGAAGACTTTCGCTGGTGTTAATTGAAATCAAATTAATGTTTTCGGATTCACTACGCGTTTTATATTATTTTATTTTCATCTCTTCTGTCCGTGATCACGGTTGCTGCTAAGTAATCGAAACGTCAAGAGTATGTAGTTAAAATAATATTTAATCCGAAAATATTAGTTTAATTTGTAAGTAATGGTTTGTATGGATTTTGATTTGACGTATGTGTCAACAAGAGTTGAAGTAATTTTTTAGGCCTTTTCGTTTTCTTTATCTTTCAACTTTTGCATTTTTCTACACTTTATTCTTTCTTTCTTTCCATTCAAGATTTTTTAATGAATAAAATACTTAAGTGTATAAAATATTTACTAGTATGTTTAATGTAAACGAAATAGAAATTGAAATTCGTTAGACATTTGTGTAATAATGTCCAGTGGAAAAATGAGGTTTTAATAAACAGTTATATGTACTAATGACGGTTTGATTATATGTATGCATGCCCTGGAATCACATACATTTGGTACCAAAATTCTTGGGTACAGTAATAATGTACGAAACGACATATTTTAGGTAAGTTTGTTGTATTATTTAATTATAGGTTTAAAAAAAATCTGCTTGATTTATAACATGCTATTTGAACTACTGAAACGATTTCTTTGTTTGAAAAGTAGTCTATATTCACCCAAATTTTGCTATTTATAAGAAAAATATGGTATTACTATCAAAAGAAGTTGCTGCTAAAATTTAGTATGAAATCGTCGTCATCAGCCTATCAGCGCCCACGGCTGAGCAAAGGCCTCTTTCTCACATGGAGAAGGTTTAAGCATTAATCACCACGCTTGCTCGAGACCGGTTGGTGATTTCAAACTTATAATTGTGATATTATAAGTCCAGGTTTCCTCACGATGTTTTCCTTCACCGTTTGTCATTGGTGCCTAAATACTCTCAGAAAGTACATATGACTTGGAAAAATCACATGGGTACTTGCCACTAGGCCACCACTAACTTTAGTATGAAATAAAAGCCATATATAAAAATAAAGATATAAATATTTATTTGCACCACCCCGACATATCGGGCATGATCTCAACGCGCTAACAGACAATACATAGTTACTTATATTAAACTCCTTTACCAACCATGACCGTAAGAGATGGGGCCATGAGAGTCCAGGGATAGGATTGGCGCTGAATGGATCACGGGAGCAGCTTGGATGATCTTAGTAGCTTGAACCACGGGTGCAGCTTGTACTATCTTATGCGCCACGGGGTGAATGACCTGAATAACGAAGCAGAATTCAAATGAATATTATCCAATATAAGATATTATCCATAATGTTTAAGATTAAAACAATGTACATAATACTTGAATTGAAATTTGTAGCACTAAAGTAAAAATTACATACTATTTTATTTGATTTGGACCTTTGACTTCTGGTATTTACGCAAGTAGCTTTCCAAATTAAAGTATCTTGTTAGTACATTAACATTTATATGTATTAAACAGTCTTATTGAAAGGGTTCAAAAAAATTGATAAAATTACCCTTTGGAAGGAAGAATAGCTTGTAGCTTGTGCTTTAGCAACAGCGATTGGGGCAGCTTGGATGATTGGGGCAGAGTGGATGACTGGAGCAGCCTGAATCACTGGGGCAGAGTGAATTAACTGAAGAGGAGCAGCGTGTTCTAAGCTTAACGACGCTCCGTGGTCTAAGCCGTACTGTAACAATAGAATAAATAATGATTAGCATATTAATTGCAGCGAGATCCTTGTCTAAGTTTAAGCCAAAAATGCTCCTAACTTTAAGCAAATTCCTGCTTGTTTTAATATATCTGATGTTGAAAATTTTGTAGGTACATTGGATCATTACTTACAGAGCCATAGTCCAGTCCTGAGAGTAAGCCTGGTGCTGGCTTGGCTGCTACCACGGCGATGAGGGCGAAGAAAGCCTGGGAAATAATAATATATAGCTTTTAGATCATAAAAATGTAACAATAATATCGTCCAGACATTAATATTTGGTTTGTCTTTGCTGGCGTACAGTTAATATTAAATCAGTATATGTGTATGTATTGTATTATACTCACTAGGCTGCTTATATGTATTGTGTTATACTTACTAGGTACTTTATTTGTATTGTAATATACTTACTAGGCAACGCATGTTTCTGACTGTTGCTACTGAAGTAAAAATGTAGTCTGGCCAATTAATGCGCTCGCGCACCTTTTATACCAATCTGGAATTTAGTTGGGATGGATTAGATCCCTTGAGACATAGCTGATTACGATATATTAGGGTACACGCCTTATACACATTTCAATCACATCGTTAAAATTATTTAATAAGTAATGAGATTTTCATTGAATTCGTTCATTTGGGATACTTATTAATGGGAAGCAATACAGAATGTAGGATAAATGAGATATTTGGAATCAAAATAAAATATTATATATTAATTTTAATAATATTATAATACATTTATTCTTATAGAAATTAGAAATATCAAAAATTTTATATTAATTTTAAGATGGAAATGTTTTTGCTCAAACCGTACATCAATATTATGCATATAATTAATTTTAAAAACTTCATTAGGCTTATAATTTAAATTGCACATATATTTTGTGTAATCAGAAAATATAATTACGAAAGTATCTCAAAGTATATATGTGTAACTTATAAATAATACATTCTCTCAATATGGCACAGTTCACGAGATCTCAGAATTTTGCTTAAACGTTGTCATAAAAAGGCCAGCTATTTGTAGAACGCTATGCAGGGAACTTGTCAAATGTATAGAATGAAATAATTTTTCTTAGAAGTTTTTATTTAAATATTTCAAATATTCCTCATATTAGTATATTAATTGATCTTTGTTTTTATATAATTATAATTATGAGACTGCACGACGCTGTACATATGTCCATAATTTTATTTATCATATATACTAGGTATTAATATCTTTTACCATATTAATACTTTATTTATGAAGTCATTTGTTTTTCATTGGATTAATTCGCTCGTGACATATTTATACCTTATTTAAACATAAATTTATTAAGCAACTAATTTTAATTGGTCGTTTAAGATGCAGTTTTTTGGATAATTGTTAGTAATATTTGAATGAAAAATTTTGCATTGGTTTATAGAAAATACCCTTAGTACAAGTTTATATGGTAACATACGAAAAAAATCCCGTTTCTTATTTAATAATCTACTGCAAAACTTTACTTATTACAATAAGTAAAGTTTTTTTGTGAACTGCTGTTAACTATGTTTATACATATACTAGCTTTCCGCCCGCAGCTTCACCCGCGTGGAGTTCGGTTATATCGCGTTTCCAAGAGAACCTTTCAAAAGTGTGGGATAAAAACTATCCTATGTTCTTTCTCAAGGTCAATTCTATCTCTGTACCAAATTTCATTAAAATCAGTTCAGTGGTTTAGGCGTGAAAGCGTAACAGACAGACAGACAGAGTTACTTTCGCATTTATAATATTAGTAGGGATTGCGACGGTGCTAACTTGGGATAGGCACAGAGAAGAAGCCATACCTTGTAAATTATCTGATTTAACTAATTCTAACACAGAATTTTGCATAATAATTAAAAGAAATAATAAATTGATTTTTAAAATAATTTAATTTGGACGCTATGCTTGATGCTGTTGTTAAGATAAATAATGGTTATGTCAAGTGAATTGTATTTATTGCAATTTAAATATTGCTTTAGCTCATTCCATTATTTCAACTCAAGTTAATGATAGTTTGTTTATGTTTGTTACTTCATAGCTACAGAACTTTTGTATCAGTTTCCTAAAATTATGTATTTGGGAAATTGAAATGCTTTGTAAAAAAGCAGTTGGTGAAAATATGTAATTTTTTATTTTATTTATAAATCCGCGTGTATGTATGATATAGTTAAAATTCTTTATATATCTACAAATTTCATTCTTCATTATTTTGGAAATTCTTCAAATCAAGCCCTTTTGACACTTGAGTGTATTTTCTTTAATAGAAATATTGTTGTTCTGGTATTACAAAAATAAATACGTCAAGTGTATTATAGAGAGTATATGTTATATTTTATCTATATCTCCAAGCTTATTATTCAGAGAATTTCCGTTACCCTTGGACATTCTTAACGTGGTTTTCTTGAAAGAGGTTGATTATAATTACTATTTTTTTTGTACAGAGTGCATCCCCTTAAATATTTAGTACAAAAAATATTTTATGGAAAAATGTCGCCTGTGAATCAAATATGGTTAGGGTTGGTCACTACAAATTATTCATATAAAAAGAAATTTTCTCAGAAATTCAATTCAATTCAACAATAAGTTTTTGGATAAAAGCCTCCTCAAGTTTAAATCAGACAAAAAGTATTATAAGACGGGGTATAATTTTAATAAAATATTTTTTAAGTAAAACACAATCGACTCGAAAGGAACACATGATAAAACAGATAAAAATGTTTTTCACTTAAATACTATATCTTAACCTAACCTTTCGAATTATAAATTCTAAGTATCTTTAAAAAAATAGACTAAACACCTAATTAAGATAAAGTACCACAATATACATATATACTTTTCAGTAAACTTATTTAATAAATATTTAAATATACACAAGTTCTTAATATTTAGCCACCTTTGCAGTCGGTGCCTTAGGCTTACAGTTATATGGGTGATATTTCTTAGGAAATAGAATAATTGTACGTTAATATCACCATTGGTGACTAAATCGCGCTGCTAGTATTATGAAATGTTTTGACATAGTACTTTGTTTTGAACCTGAGTGCAGTCCCTATCAGTCTGTGAGTATAGTCCTTTTTATTGCTATATCTTTATTTAGCTAAGGAATAAATAAATTAATAATAAAAAGCCTCTTTATTTCTTGCTTCACATAGTTACAAAAAGAAATTATAAGTACTAAAAATAAGTTTTTTTTATTATTACAATTCAAACTTATAGTAGTTGGCATTTAGTTGATAAGAACCCCGGTTTGGGTAAAGGCCTGCTCCAAAGTTAGTTGATGATTTTGTTTGGCGTCGTTGTTCTTTGGATTTGTGGTTTTCATTGGAGAGATATGGTTATAATCCTCCACAAACCGGTTTGGAGGATTTGTTATGTTTTTTTTGTTTGTTTTTATATATTTCTTTATTATATCTGTGTGGAATATTCGATCATATATCTTGTGGTCTTAATTATGTTAAGAACAAACGAATTCGTTTTAATTTCATACTAATTACTTGTTATATATGAAATTTATCGAGTTATATGAGAATAAGTGTAGGCTTAATTAAGGTTTAGATTACTTTAAGGTTGGTCTAATTTAGTATTCTTATGATTATATGTTAGTGTAAGTTGCTTAATCCGTAGAAGGCACCGAGTAAGTCCAGTTTTGTGCAGATAAGTATAGCTATTATGAGAGGTTAGGCTATGAAATAGTTTTAAGTGAAATATTTTTGATGTGTTATTCCTGTGTACCTATGTTTTTCGTTGTCCTACAATATTTTTTGATTTTCTGCAATTTTCAGAGGATCCCATTATAAACGCCAACTTGGACACTACAAGAAGAGCTCAGGAATGCAATCATTTAGATAAAAAAGATTTCTTAAATCGGTCCAGGAATATTTGGCAAATCAGGGAAAAGACATGAAAAAGATTCCGATGAATTGAAAACCTTTTGCTCTTTTAAGTCGATTAGTAACAAATATACAAAATCTGTCATCCGACAATGAAGGTCAAACATAATACTGCTTAAGTAATGCTTTCATTTAATGTATTTTATGAATGTCTAGCCGTTTAAAGGGTTTTTCTAAATTTTCCCAGTATTCCATAAATACTTCTTATTGTAATCATCATCATAATCATCATGGGACTATTTGTCCCCACCTAAGTTTATCCTTATAAGTATATAAAATGAAATCGGTTGGCGTTAAAATTACTCATTCATTTGTCGCACACATACTTAATGTTAATTTTAAGACATATATACTTAATTATCGTTTTCTGATGGTTGCCACTGTCAGTACTTAACCAAATTAAATTGTAACCAAATAGAAAAAAACAGATTTTAATTATAATGTAAATCATTAGAATCGTTTCAACCGTAACGTACGTAAACAAAATGCAGACGAATTGATAACCTTCTCCTTTTTTGAAGTCGATTGAAAATGAAATTAATAAAAAACAGTCTTATAACTATGTATTACCGTTTACCGCATTAGTCATGGTTGGGATAATATGAAGAATAAGACATTAATTTCATTACAAGTAATAATATGTATATTATATCCAATGAATAATTAAGTAAACCAACCAAATTGTAAATCATTTGTATTAAAATAAATATGTTGATATAATTACTATAATAAAAGTATAAATTAATTTATTTACAGAACTTTGTATTTTCAAAAGTCAACTATCTCTTGGTTTTCTTAAATATAATTGAGATTTGGGTCAATGTATGTAATTGCTGTAGAAATGTGGATATATTTTCATAATGTCGCGTTGGTCAATTGCCGGTCGCATTCGGACGGGATCTAGATTTATAGTTTTTGCTAAATTTATTTGAATTACGTAAATCTGTATTCCTGTGTTCATTGCGATAAGTAGAGCGATATACTAGTTTGGACGTTGCCGATTAGATTCAATGTTGCAATCGTTAAATTGATTATTGTAGTTATAATAAAATATCTTTATGAGTTTCATGAAATGCATAACTTGATAGAAAAACAGAGATAGTTTTATATTATTAATTAATTGAAAAGAGTTTAATTTTTAAATTATAAGCAGTATAAATTACAATGTGCATTTCTTAATTAAAAGAACATAACGATCATAAAATCTTTTTAAATAAAATAAAGACAGGACAGACAGATACTTTTTTTATAGTATTTTACTGAATGTGATTGAAATGGAAAATGTGTTCGGTTCAAGAAAAATAGGATTCAAATGAATTTTTATATTTTAGGCATATAACAGCTAAACCCTTTTTTAATTCCTTAATTATTATTATTAAACAAATATCATACATGGACGTGAATGGTACAGTACAAGATTTCAACTATATATACTAATTACAACGTCTTATACTATCGGAAATACATAAATATATTAAACAAGATTATATTTAGCGGGTTTTGCTGAACGACTTGACCCCCTC